TATGACGAAAGCCAGAGAAATCCTCATGTCTGTGGTTCGAGAAGTAGCTCAGTGATAGTTCAAGATATACTGATGCTGTCAAATTGTACTGCCTGTCATATGTTAAGCTAAGATTCTCGAAGCTGTTTCATGGACGTACTGAATGCAGTATGAGTAACGTCCTCATCTGGCTATGACAAGGTGTAAGACAAGCTGTCACCATGACGAACATCACGTGACCGTTTGTCATAACAATGCTGGTACTTCAAATATTGGTTCACTGTATAAATATTTTAAAACTTACATTATTATTTTCAGTTGGAGCGAAAGTACTCGAAAGGAGAAGTTGTGTAATTGTGGAGGATCGCAAAAGCTTTATTGATTGACATCCTCAGGGAATATCTTTAAATGTTACGCACTCCGAACGTTCATGAAACAAACAATCAGACAACTGGCAATGGAATCAATACATGTCAAACTAATATTGAAATAGTAAGATTCATTAATTTTACAATTGGAACTGGTTAACTTTTGGATGATTATTGATGAAAGTGTGAACTTTAAAGGTTCCGGGAATTTGCGATATTTCAGAACTCCTCTCTCTTTCTTTGAAGATTTATCGTATACTGTTGTCTAAATGCGCTGAGGGTAGACTCCTTAGGCTCTAAAGATCTTCATTTTTACAACGACAAAACGTTAAAGGTCTTGGTGAAATATCTGATTATTTCATTGCAAATTAGAGATCTACAGCGGCTTAAAAGGGAAAGGACAATGGTGGCGGTACTTTCTTTTGGCCCCAATATGCAGAGTTCCTGTCCACAGACGAGGTAGAGAATAAACGGAACAATGTTGCGTCCTGGACATCGAAACGTGGCATCGTTATGGTTTGGGGCTGCATCTGAGGTTAGATGAAGACAGATGTGGTTGTTCGATGTCATTTTTAATACACAAGGTCGACGAGGTTTTGTGTCCATTTGTGCTGCATTTCCTCTTGTGGATTCCCCAGATCATGTTTAAGCAAGATAGCAAGTGAGACGTTTTCTTCGGGCCACCGATGTCAACGTCTTGTCTTGGCCAGACCGATCACCTGATATGCCATCCATCCAGCACCTGTGGGACCATATTTGACGTCAGATTCTGGCACGTTTAGTCAGAGGACGGCTTATTCCTGTCACAAGACAGCAGTTTGTGCAGGCATTTCAGGTGGAATGGCCTCGGATTACAGTTCACGACACCATAGGTCTGACGTTCTACGTTCAGCAGAGAGTAAGGGCGTGCTTTGATGCCCAAGGAGTGAGTGAGTTGGGTTAAACGCCGCTTTTAACAGTATTACAGTTATATCGCGGCGTGTCAGCTTAATTTGGGAGGAAAGCCCGAAGTGATGCAGGTCTCAGACGTGTACCACTCCGATGAAACCCACGAGCACGGGTATGGTGCTGACAAACCTAGGAACATAATCGGGGCGAACCGGGATTCGAACCCACAACCATAGGTTTCAGGCGTGTCCAAGGGACGCAACTCTGCACATCGAATCGCGGCGCCCAAGAAGACTGGGCCACCCGTGCCCCCCTGATGCTCAAGGAAGACATACCGATACTGACTGACTAGTTTGACTTCAGTTTTTCCAAATTGACTTGTGTCCACCCTTCAAATGTTGTATCATCGAATACTGAACAACTGACCCCTTTCTTTTAATTATGCCGCTAGATTCTATATTTTAACTGATTGTGGCTCTACACATTGATTTTTTTATAGTTGATAAAATTAAAAGTACATTAGCCATTATTGAATTTTCATTTCATGAAAAACATGTTCACGTAATGAAGATAAATGAAAAAAACCACTTTAAATGTATGTAATTATTGTAAAGAGAAAGGGGGACAATACTTTTTGTAAAGAGATGCTTTGAAATGAATCGATTGATATCGATTCATTTCTTTTGAAGAATGAAATGACAAAGTCGGAAATGCTCTGTCTTAAGGTAGATAAGGACACTTCACTTTAGAGCATGTCTTATGCATGCCACCCTTTTGAATGGATATGCTTTGAAATACATCGATAAATTTACCATCGATTTTAGGTCATGTTCAAGACAGATGAACTGTGTGACAAAGGTTCCTTGTGTGTAAGAGTGTACGTCTCTCTCGCTTAATCAGTAAATGAGTCATCAAGGAATGATCAAATGGAAAGAGACGAGCAGAGATCAATAAAACACCCCCCGATATAGTCTTAGATTTCCTATACCTGAGAGAATAGCCCAACTTGGCCAAGTGAATGTACCAAAATATTAACTTCGTCATATCATTCTTAATACGTATTCGATATCAATCGATGTATTTCAAAGCATATCTGTTAAAAAAAGGACACATGCATACTACTACATTTCCCGAAACTCACAACTTTAACTGCCAACTCTATATTGCAATTGGTTGTTTCAATTTGATTGACCAAAGATGTAGATAACGTTATGTTAGATTCTCAGTGGCCTAGTACTAAACTAATGTCAAAAAGGAAAAATACCTATTTTGTTTGAAAGGTTATGGAAGAAAAACAAAACCATATAGAAAATTCATATTGGTATATTTCATTAGGGCAATCTTTAAACATCACGTGTACAAAAAGCAGTTCAATCAAATTTTAACATGCAGACGGACAGGCCCATAAAGACGCGTGGGGTTGATATCGGGTATGTCCACCTTGAGCATTAATGCACCTCACCTCACCGCGATTCCAACGACTCTCTCTACAAAATATATTTTTAAAAATAGTTATTATCAAGTCTTTGAATGGCATCTATCTGCCCAGTGCTTGGGGATTATTGCTTTGATCTTTGTCGGTGTTGTTATCTAGTTGGCTTCCTTTTGCCCTAATTGCTGTTCCACCCTTTTACCTATCAGTGGTAATTACCCCCGGCCTCCCGTTTGCCCACTGTCCATTGCCCATTACCAAATAATGATAATTTAAGGGCTGGCTTCCAGTTGTCCATAACCATCAACGCTAATTACTGTAAAGAGTTGGTTTCCATTGTCTTTTGCTAATCACCTATCAGCGCCAGTCATCTGTTGGCTTCCCTTGTTAGTTTCCACCTTGTGTTATCTTATTGCTTTTTGTTGTCCTTACATGTACATATATATGCTCTCTGACACATAGCATTCATTCACCTGAGGAAGGAGTAAGCATAAGCTCATAATAAAGAAGTTGACATTCATAAATTCTCTTCCTTATCGCAGTTACATCTATTTATTATTTACTAAATACGCGCCAAGTAGTTGCAGACATTGTGTGCGTGTGTGTATGTGTGCGTATGCGTGTGTATGTGCGTGTGCGTGCGTGAGTGCGTGTATGTGTGTGTGTGTGTGTGTGTGTGTGTGTGTATGTGCTCGTGCTATTTAATCCTACAAAGAAGATAACGTTGTGTTTGATTGTCCGGATTGATGGACTTCGTGTCTATACCTTTCAGTGGGACTCTGCTGGGGGACTCTCATTAATGTGATGTTGATGTCGATTTAGTCGTAAACTGACACACTAGTACTGTAAGTTCTATAATTCACGTGTTTCTCATACATTCATGGGAGGTATGCTAGATGTACTACCATAATCAAAACGAAATATTTAGTGATAAAGATAGCATACGTTTTATACATTCAATACACATATATTTTGTCCAGATATTAGTTAGTTAGTGAGTTAATATTTAAAGTCACATCGGCACTATTTCAGCCATATTGTGACTTGAGCAAGTTATGCATTTATATCATATATAAAAATTCGTCGTCGAAGGACAGTACAACTAGCAATATATCACAGATTATAATTGTAAAACTAGTTCAAGATATTATGAACTATAAGTGAACATATAATTTGAATCGGAGAGTTCTGTTTTTTTAAAGCGACTGTTATCAATATTCTGTAAATGTTGAAATTAACGCGTCTTCAAATTAATACGACGGACTAAACCTGGTTAGGGCTGAGTTTGTTTTCAGCAGTTTTCTCGAGGAATATTGTGTATCACATGCTGAATTAAAGGTGGTAACAGTAAAATATCACTTTAAGTTTGTATATTTATTGTATAAGATAATTCTGGTACAAATACTGATTCCAGCTGAGTTTTAACGCCACTCTTTTCCGGAACATCACGATTTAATGAGGGAGGAGAGCAGGTAACGAAGGTTTCACATGTTTAATAGTTTTTAACCCGAAACCAACGCGTGTCTCAATCTTAGATACGATCGTGTCTTTGGTGAGTGAGTGAGTTTGATTTGAATCCGCTTGAGGTGGGATGGGGTGGGGCGGGGTGAGGTGGGCTGAAATGGGCTTTAGCGTCACGTTCAAGAATATTTCACTTATATAGCGATGTGCATGCACGTATGTGTGAGTTTGTTGGGGTGTGGGGTGGGTTAGAGGGCTGTTTGTACTATTCCGGTTTTATACTACTGACCCACTGCGATACCATGCCGCAGTTACCATGGATATCCCACTAGTTCTTGTTTTATCCAATTATTTCCTCAATACCGAGGGTCAGGCAGGGTAACAACAAGTGCTATCTTTTAACGTATGTTGGTGTGACGCGCCAAGGTATTGAACCACCGAACGTTCGCACCGGGAAGACACTCTATCCACTAGACCACGAAGGCGGTTAAATATGGGTGTAGACTTTCTTTTGCCCGGCAGTATAATTTCTCTTGAAATTCCTGACTCCATGTCACATAACTACATATTTATCACGTCACTTTGTTAGGAGTCGTGCAAAATACACAAAAAGATAAGTATCCATTTTCACGTCTCTCCCTATTGAATATCACTAGCTTGCATCCTCATCTCACGATATTCATTGGAATCTAAATTTAAAAGGAAACAGGCTAACGTCAACACAAAACAAGAGTTAACCCGGGAAGTATCTTAACGCTTGAATGTTTCCCAAACATCTTACTACCCAAATACCACACAAAGAGCTAACTGGGGTAGCCCTATTCAGGGGTAGAAATATAGACGCTCTATAAAGGAAGAGGCAGTAGCGACAAGGTCTAAGGCGTGACACAACCATGGCCAGTTTACCTGAGGTAAGACTTCTCACTGTTACTACTAATGAATCCATTTAAATGTTTTCCAATCGGGACATTTGTTTTTTTTCTTGAAATTTCAAGATGTTCTGTTGACATTTCAAGATACTAAGTTGAAATTTTAAGTTAATATCTTGAAATTTCCATGGTATCTTAAAATGGTTGAAATTTCAAGATACTGAGATGAAATTTCAAGGTAATATCTTGAAATTTCAACTTGGTATCTTAAAACCAAAAGTTGAAATTTCAAGATTTTAAGTTGTAATTTCAAGTTATAATGTAAATATTTTAACTTATTATCTTGACATTTCAAGAAGAAAATGACCCTAAAAGGCTTCCGTAATGAACATGTTTGTAGGAAATCACTGTTATCAAGACATTGTCTCTTGTGTCCCGTGGAGATCCGGGGTAGAATAGATCTTCAGCAACCCATGCTTGCCGTAAGAGGTGACTAACGGGATCGGGTGGTCAGGCCGGCTGACTTGGTTAAGGCATGTCATCGTTTCCCAATTGCGTGGATCTATGCTCATGATGTCAATCATTGGATTGTCTGGTCCAGACTCGGTTATTTACATACCGCCATCATATAGCTGGAATATAGTGCGGCGTTAAACAACAAACAAACAAACATTGTCCCTTGCACCTGAATTTATTTTAGCTGAAAAACTACATTGAACGTCAATATGCCGTTAGAGCGTCAGAGAAAAGTTAAATCTTGCGTGTACAATTACATGCAGGTGGGTGATAGAAATCTATTGAAAACAGCTTCATTTTCGTGCTGAGCGATCCTCAACCTACCCTACCGTATTGCCTTGTGTTTAGATACTCGTGTTACCGCTGTTACTGTATAAAGTTCCACATACCCTGTTGCGAAATGACGAACTTCTTACCAATGCTAATACAATGATATAATTATAAAACCGAACGCCTATCAAATGCACTTCAGCGAACTTAACCGAGGGTATCCGGGTAATATTTCAGGATGGTTTACGTCGTCTGCTATCTGTCGGCAATGTCCGTAAAACGGTTCGCTGGGCAGACGGATGAATACATTTTAGTTAAACGGGCGTAATTTACGCCGGTAGGATACATTTCTTGTCAACCGATCCCTCGGCGTTAATGGTGTGCTGTACCCTGTGGGAGAGCCTATTAACCCCTTGACGGGACGTCATATACCCCTTGAGACTGGTCGACAACAAATATTATGTATCCCGACAGTGTGAAATATACAGCTTGAGACCAACAACTTGAAGATCGGATCAAATCTGATAGTGTTATGAACCTTATTGTCTTCTGTAATTTGTATTTTGAATCACCCCCTGTCGACTGAGATGTACAATGACAGGAGCGATGAAGCTGCCAAAATGTTTGTTTTTGTTTGTTTGTTTAACGCCGCATTCCGCAGTATTCCAACTGTATGATGGCGGTCTGTAAATAATCGAGTCCGGACCAGACTGTCCAGTGATTGATATCATGAGCATCGATCCATGCAGTTGGGATAAGAGGACATGTATCAACCAAGTCAGCGAGCCTGACAACCGGATACCGTTAGTCGCCTCTTTGGACAAGCATAGTCGCCTTTTACGGCAAGCATGGGTTGCTGAAGACCTATTCTAACCCGGATCTTCACGGGTCAGTTGCCAAAATGTGAAACATGAAAAAAAAAAAAAATCCACCTAAACCCTTGGCGAAACCGCATTATCGGTGGTTCGAGAAGGGAGCTAACTCCGTTTGCCTAATCGAAATTTCGAGGTGGGCCCACATTCGAAACTAAACGCACTTGTTGTTGAGAATATATACTACGTAAACAAACCCGCATAACGAACTCATAATTTGTCTATTTAAAATAAGTATTATGACTTATTATTGAATTAAAATGTACAAATAAGATGACAATACAGCAGAACTCACTTCTACGAACATCGCCAAACTAGGTCGTGGGGGTCATTATTATTCATGAGTTATTCCTTTTATGGAACAAGTTCTCGGAAACGTTTGAGGCTTGTATCATGTCCGAGATCAATTCAAGTGTAGACATATTTTCAGGCTTATATCGCCACCAATACTTATGATTTGATTGATGTATTATATTGGAAAAAGTAGAATGAGTGGTATTGCCTCTGTAAATTTAATTTGAAGTAGATTTAAGTTTCTTGCTTGGCAGCTATTTTTGTAAAACTAGTGTGGTCAGCTATGATGCAGTTATTCAAACTTCAAAGACTTTTGTGCGTTTCATGGAATTAATGTCACACGAAATGATTTATAAAGATATTTCCCATCAATAATAGAAAATGTGAATAATATATAATGTCACATAATGACAAACGTGAGCCCACTAGCCTTAATGACTTCGTCAACCTAATGAAACCCAGCGATTTAAAAATGTGGGCCCACCTGTTTCGATCACTATAAGACGGGAACAATGTGGGCCCACATTTTAGAAAATGGTTATAAGTAAGCCAAACTAATGAAGCTAGCGATTTTTTAATGTGGTCCCTCCTTTTGCAATCACTATGACGGAAGAACGTCTACCCACTAGGCGATATACAAATGTGGGCCCACTTGTTTCGATCACAATATATGACGGGAACAATGTGGGCCCAAATTTGAGAAAATGATTATCAATATTTAAGTAGAATTTCGCGATTAATAAATCTGGTCCCTCCTGTTGCAATCAATATGACGGAAGAACGTCTGCCCACATTTAGGGATTGATTATCAGAACTAACGAAACAACCTACCGAAGATAGGCGAAATACACATGTGGGCCCACTTGTTTCGATCACCACAGATGACGGGAAAGATGTGGGCCCACCTTTTTGAAAATGGTTATCACCACTAAACCAATCTTAGAAGATGTACGGATGGAAACATAAATATATAATGCATTCAAACATTTAATTACGCATACGTTTTACCTTAGGGATAAGCTGGGCATTTAATAGCTGGACCAACAACGTACAGCGTGGGTGACGCCATTACTCCTAAATACGAAAACAACGGAGATAGCTCCCGTTTGAAATTAGAGTGGCCTCCTTTTCCCAATATGAACCACTGATAATGCGGTTTCGCCAAACCCTTTAACGACAAGTCAAACAAGACGTTAGGCATGTCAGCGCTGTATAATGCATTCATGTAATTGTCACCCCTAGTTTGTCTTTTACGCCCAGTGGAATCTGTTTCGGCGGATAATTGAGACTGGTCATTCTCTGGCGTTGACGTTATATATTGTATGTCGATACAAAGGGAATATTTAACTAGGCTTGTTAAAAAACATGTGATAAATTGCGTAGCAACGAATTAATTAGTCGCCCCTTACGACAAGCATTGTCGCCTTGTACGGCACGCATGGGTTGCTGAGGACCTATTCTATTCCGGATCTTCACGGGTCTCGTCCATGTCGTCCAATCTCACTGCTATATGTAGTTATATACCCCAAAGAAGTTTAAGATCACAAGATTCTTTCAAATCACTAGAGTTACTAAAGTAATATGGAAGAATAATTTTGGGGTGTTCTCTAAATTCTTTAAGTATATAATTAGCAGTGAGATAGTGAAATAGTTATGGCAAGACAAATTAACTATAGCAATGAGAAAGATCGTCTTTTGAGTAGTATATAACATAAAAAAAGGTTATGTAAATGAAACATCTGTTTTTCAGGTGATGCTGGTTGCATTTCTTCTGCTCTCTGGAGATGCTGGTGAGGGTGGTGAGCCTGGTGGTGTCGATACCTGTGAACCGTGCACATGCTCAGAAACACACGCCGACTGTTCCTCGCGAAACCTAACCACCGTCCCGAAAACCCTTCCAATCGGAATCCAAACTTTGGATCTAGCTCACAACTCATTTCATGAATTGATAAGGAAATCCTTTGATGCCTACGCAAACCTTACTACTCTAAATATATCATACAACAAACTCAAATTCTTGGATAGGGATGTCTTTGAGCATTTGATAAATTTGCTGATACTGGACCTTTCACACAACGAGCTATCACTGTCTGAACACTCCTATCCTGAAGGACTCTTTAGGAACCAGAAGATGTTACAACTATTGTTTCTCCAAAGTAACACTGAATGCAACGAAAACTACCGTTATCCTGATACCGTATTCAGTGACCTTACCAACTTAACTGAACTTCACATAGATGGTTTGAAAAACTTCGTATTTGGAAAAGGCTTCAAGAACCTCACAAAACTCACGTCACTGTTTCTCGTGGGAACCTGTGATATTGAGACAGTCCGAAACTACAGTTTTACCTACTTGTCTAATGTGCAAAATCTTTCCCTGGTACACTGTGGAATCATTCACATTGAACAATCGTCATTTTCGCCCTTAAGCAATGACATACATTATTTGGATGTTTCTGACAATGTGGACCTTGGACTGATTCGCCTTGGTCGCGCATTCTATGGACTTAGAAACAAAACAGTTCGGATTCTGAGGGCAAATAGGCTACACAGGCATCGTGGAACAGGCATAGCACTTAAGTGCAAAGACTTTGCTTCTCTTAAATACATAACATTAGAAGAACTGCACATCGATGATAATCGCATAGAAGTCCTTGACATGGGTATTACAGGACTTCTACCTCGCTTAAAGAGATTCTCAGGCAGAAATAATCTATTCCTGTTTGGTCCATATACTCTTACAGGTCAGGGATTGAAGGAGCTTGAATGGGCTGATGTCTCTGGACAGTCAGCTTCAACCGCTGAATTTTTCAATCAGAATGAAAACAATTTGTATCTTAAATATTCAAGAAAAGAGTTAACTTGTTTTCCTTCAAATGAGACACAACACAATTTAAGTATTTCACATGAAAATGTTTTACATTTAGACAGGAAACTGTCGGGTTCCCGGTCGGATATGAACTATGCAGGTTGTACATTTAGATTACCGCAGAAGCTTTTATTTGCCAATTTCAGCAGATCCAAATTGAGTTTCCGTATAAAAAATGTATCATGTTGCAATTCCAAGTTAAAGGAACTTGATCTTTCTCATAATTTGTTTTCAAAATGGGAAGGACCGATTGAAGGGTTTGAAAGCCTAGAAAAAATAGATCTCTCTCATAATTTCTGTGACTATGTAAATAATTCAGTTTTCAAAAGTCTTAGCCGTTTGAAAACAGCAAAGCTTGGGACAAATTTTCTTGGCTATGCAATGAAAGACATACAGTTTAACATTAGTAAATTATAACATCAAGACTTGACAGATAACAAGATCCAGGAGCTGACAAGGTCTAATTTCATGTTACTGAAGTCCCTTAAATACTTAGACCTTAGTCACAACGATCTTAGATCTTGGAATGCTGACATCGAACATATGCATAATTTAAGGACAGTAAATATTTCTCATAATTTATTTGCAGACTTTCCAATAAATCTGGCATTACAAATTGACCGACTCAACAGTAGGAATTTGAGTGTTGATTTTCAGGGCAATTTCCTGCAATGTAATTGTCTCACTTTAAAATCTTTGCAATGGATAAATAAGAATTCAAACATCTTTCTTAACATACAAGGTCTAGTATGCATGTTTAATCATAAAAATATCAATCTTACAAACATACATGACATCGTTCTTGAACTTGAAAAAACATGTGCTTCGTATGTAGGATTGATGATCGGCATTCTGAGCATCATCGTGTTAGTCTTGGCTTTATCTATAGCCGGCGTTGTGTTCAGGTACAGGTGGAAGGTCAGGTATCTTTACCACTTAATGCGAAATAGACATCGAGGATACCTCCCTGCTGAAGATGTAGAACAGGAATTCGAATTTGATGCCTTCATTTCGTATGCTGATGAAGACCGCGGTTTCGTTGTGAGGGAAATGCGCGAGATTCTGGAAGACCAGGAGAACTTTAGTCTGTGCATCCACCATAGAGACTTTCTCCCGCGAGAAGCCATCGCGGCCAACATCCTGAAAGCCATCAGTTCCAGCAGAAAGACTGTGGTGATCCTGACCAGGAACTTCCTGAAGAGCTACTGGTGTAGATACGAGATGGAGATGGCCAAGATGGAGAGTATCTACACTGGAAGGAACACCTTGCTGATTGTAGTCATGGAGGACATTCCTGTGAAGGATCTTCCTGTGGATATAGTGGAGGTGATGAGACGGGACTCGTACGTGGAGTTCACAGATGACATGGAGGGGAATGCAGTGTTTTGGCACAGCTTGAAGAGAGGCCTTCGAGGATGAGATTTGAACATTCGTGTGACAATTCTTCCTGATGATTCTGTCCAGGTGACGAGACTGGATGTACGTAAACGTCACCAATGACGGGAAAGGGAATAGAAATGGTTTTGCAGTCCTGTAATAGCGATAGAGTGCTTGCAATGCTGGTAACTGAACCAAGTTGTATTGTTTTTATTGGTTGTTTCGTCAATTTGTATATATTTTAAGATGTATATTGTATGTAGATTCTGCATACTTGGTAACCCTTGTGGCCATACTTTCCATGTACACCCACGTGCGGGTAAATATATGGGCGTTATATTCACACGCTAATAGAACTGTATCTCAGCTTTGGCTATATTCTTGTTCATGATTTACATTTCATACTCTATAAACAAAATTTACGTATATACCTCATATGAATTGTATATATTCATTTTGTGCTTATTATTATTTACGTTACGTAAGTATATGTGTGTTTACTTAAAAATGAATAGGTGTAAGGTTGTACATACATATCCCTGTAAAATTTTACTTTGTTGTGTGTGAGTTAATATTTCCTGTCAAACTATTTCAGCCTTAAATAGACTATATTGACAGATAAGTTCTCAAGCGAATGTGTATATCCTGTATTAGGAATAAACATTGTATTTAGCGAGCCTTGGCAAGCTAATTACATAGTGTCTATTCCTAATATGGGATATATTAAATTCCCAGAATCACACAAGCGTGAGAAACTCTTTATCATGTGATGTCATTCTTGATTTCTGTAGTCGAAAAAGATAATCTTATCTCTTCCGAATGATACCTTAACATTACAAGATTTTCATGTTCTAGGTACATTTGAGAATCTAAGGACTTGTTTACAGTTATGTGTTGAGCCGTTTTAATAAAACGTGTACGCAAATAATGTTTTCTATGGTTTTTGTGTGAGGTCCCATGTCGCAGGATCTTGTTTTTGTTTTTGTCAGCAAAACGTGCGTACCTGTATACATCTTGAGATCGATCTTGCAAATGAGGCCACGTATCACTAGCAGATAAAATAATGACGAGTATCAATGTGACGACAATTTTTTAGAAAATAATTGAAACACAATAAAATGTATCAGGGTTGTTTTAACCTTGAAGACTCATCTCGCCTTCAAAATGAGTAAGTTACTTCCGTTAGAAATCTAAGGGGTGTTGAATCAGTGTCTAACTCTGTAAGGACTTAAGGGAGTGTTTGTTTGTTTGTTGTTCAACGCTGCACTCAGCAATGTGCAAGCAAAATGACGGCGGTCTGTGAATAATCGAGACTGGACCAGACAATCATGTGATTGACATCATGAGCATCGAGCCGATGGGATACTATGACATGCATCAACCAAATCAGTGAGCTTGACCACCCCATCCCGTTAGTCGCCTCTTACGACAAGTATGGGTTGCTGAAGGCCTATTCCACCCCGGATCTTCACGGGTCCGCAGGACCTTGTTCACAGATTCAATACATTTTCGCGCTTTGTCCTTTCCTCCTGATTTCTTGATCTTGTATCAGGCTGATCAGTATTGCCTTAAAACACAAACTCTAAAAAAGTAACATGTTTGTCATTGTCCTTTTAATCGCCTGTTTACCTTTATTTCTATGGACGTTAAAATTCTATAGTTCTGAACACCTTATCAACTATGGAGTGCAAACATCGTTACGTTACTTATTGTGTACACAAATTATCTCTGGTATGTGAAAATATTTGCCATATCAAAATATACCTCAAGTAGTGAGTGAGTATGGTTTGGCGCCGCTTTTAGTAATATTCAAGCAATATACCGGCGGGGGACACCAGAAATGGGCTTCACACATTGTACTCAGATGGGGAATCGAACCCGGGTCTTCGACGTGACGAGCGAACGCTTTAACCACTGGGCTACACCACCGCCCATCTCAAGCAGTAAAGGGCGACTTTCGGGTCGCTTTGTCGCTGGCCTTATGTTTTCTGGCACAGATAACGTATTACGATAGGTAACAATGGATGGTACATCCTGAACACAACAAATAGAAAAAAATTACTGATCTTTCTAGGGAATATTTTTTTTAATGAAATTGTGTGCTTAGTCTTCACAACAAAGACATATCCCCCAAAATAGTATTTAATTATCCCTAACATTGTTTTGTTCGATATAATAATAATAATAATAATAATAATAATAATAATAATAATAATAATAACTTAAGATATTGTGATGAATGCAAGTAGATTTGGTGACTTCAGTAATGCATCGTGTGTGCTTCTACCGTAAGAAGTGAGAACAATGTGCTAAAAATGACGGATTATATGTATTTTAGGGAAGTTATATTCTATTGTTGAAGGCGAACGAGCTGTCAATTTGGTTATGTGCCGGGAACGCCACATTTAAATCACAGATAATCCTGGGAACGCCGAACACATAACTCAAGGGTTTCTGCTGCTGGTACCGCGAGCGCCACATCGACGGATTCTATACCGTTTTGTTATATAAACGAAGCATTATATGATATAAAAAAGTTATCCCGGAATAGTACACATACATAAAATACATAAAATGCGTAAAACAAAAATCAGTTAATATTAACAGATCACGTGATTATCAAAATGCACCCAATTAGCAGTGCAATGCGGATGTGTTGACAGATATAGCATTTGTTTTAAACAATAGCTCTCATATACTTAATGAGTAATAACATCGCGAAACGATGCATGCGTGTGACATCAGTATGATACTAACGATACATGCTATTTAAGTCTTTTTTTGGGTGTTGTATAGTGTGATGGGACTAGGGTTGTTATCTACCTCATTCTTCATATAAGGAAACTCGTGGGAATTCGGGTTAGACAATAGGACCCCTACATCAGACCTGTCAACCCTTCCGCATTTTGCGGGAGACTCCCGCAGTTTGATGAAATCTCCCAGTCTTCTGCATGAGAGACTATTTCTCTCGCAAGACAGCATTTTTCATTCATTTAAAATGTGCCTCCATTGTCCCGCGAGTAAAAACAAAAAACAGTGTGATATGATGCCTTTATCTGAGCCATAATTAAACTTGTAAATTATCTTCTTCAAGTGTTATTGTCACTTTTTTTAAATCTCCCCCGTTGGAGGCAAATCTCCCCCATGAGGGGTTGTCAGGTCTGCCCTACGTATATACATGCTGGAAACAAGAAGTGGGGTCAGGCTTGCCGACTTAGTTGATTACATGCGGTCGTATCCCAATTACGTGGATCGATGCCCGTGACGTCAATCACTGGATTGTATGGTCTAGAGTAGATTATTGACAGATCGTAGTCATATAGCTGAAACTTTGCCGTGCGGGCGTCAAACAAGAAACAAACAAGCAAACATAAAGGAAAACCATGATGACACAAAGGAAAACCATGATGACACAAAGGAAAACCATGATGACACAAAGGAAAACCATGATGACACACGGTACAGGAAGCTTCCTCGGAAGGAGTGACCTGTTTCTGTATGACGTCATACACAGCACATGGAGCCGAGGTGAGGTGAAATGAGGGTTTTTGTCACGTTCAAGCTTATTGCACTTATATAGCGATGTGCATGTATGCAGTCTCGTTTTAACTACGTTCTCACTATATTCCAATAACGTAACGTTTAAGATGATTGCACTATTACAGCGACATGCATGAATATGTATATATATATGTGTGTGTGTGTGTGTGTGTGTGTGTGTGTGTGTGTGTGTGTGTGTGTGTGTGTGTGTACTAGTACTACTCCTGCCGTTATTTTATAGTACTAGCCCATTGTGATGTCATACCGCAATCTAAAATGGATACCCTACTCAGACACATTATACTCCAAGCCCACCAGTAGTCATTTTATCCCCTTACGTCTGGCAGGGTAACAACATATACCACCTTTAAACGTCTGTTCATACGACAGCGATCGAACCAGCGGCCTTCTGCAATGAAAGCAGACGTTCTATGCACTAGACCACAGAGGTGGTCCCCAGTGGGTGAAATGCTGTATAGATTCAAAGAGATTAAAACAACATCCATCCAAGCCCTGTGTTCATCAGGTGACATCATGCGATGGTTAAATGGTCACAGAATCGAAAAAGATGGTACCAGTTCTGCAATATAATTTACCTTGTGTCTGGGCTCCAACTGTTTGGGTGTAAAGTTTAGACACTAAAGGTGACACACACACTTCAAACTGTCAAAGCCAGAAAATAAAGTCTCGAGTATCTTCATAAAACGAAAACAGTGATGAATAGTATATGAACTGATCACTCAAAATCAAAAACACCAGAAGTTCGCAAAAAGGGCAAGCATGTCCTGCTCTACCAGTAGTTCTGCCGGTACCGGTACCACACAATGGGCTCGCAACCCCACTAATTTCAAGAATTGAGTGCGAGAGTATAGCATAATGCCGCCTTCAGCTGTAGAGAGATCACAGCGGGACACATCAAGAATAGGCTTCACTCAGATTAGAATAGAACCGGTTCGGCTTTGTGAGCGAACGCTTTCACCACTAGGTCACTCAACAGTCCCCAGTCATGACGTAATGATAGAAAAATACAAACTAGGAAACTGTTATAAAAGTGGTTTATGTTAGAAAAAAGCTCGGGGATATTTACAAACATATGTACATCTTGTATTATACATGTAGACTAGATAACAATCATAGACATCAAGGGAACGACCAGCGTTCATTTGGCAAGACCATTTACACTCTACAAAAGAATCAATTTCGTAATTCTTTCATTTTGAACATATTTCATGTAACATTTAAACGAAATCGCTTAAGTAAGAAACATATCAATAAACATAATTGTTTCAATAAATGACTCCTCAGTGAAAAAAAGATTATGAAAAGTCAAAGTCCAAACAAAACATACAACAAAGAAATATGGAACATTGGACATAAAATGCATAATGTTATTGTTGAGAAAAAGAATGAGATGATAATAAGGATCTTGTATACATTGTCAGTTAAAGGCTGCTTTTGCTTTCGTCAGCATTAACGACATAAAATCCTTGTGATTCCGAGTACACCTCGTTTTCAAAATAAACAGGCTGGGTTGTAAAGTGCTCCTTGTCGTAAGACCTTTCTTGAAATTTTGAGGCATCATTTTCAATCGTTCGAGCTTGTCGTCTCCTACAATAAATTATCAATGTTTATACATACTGGCTATAATACGATGTAGCTTAATGTAAAAATATTACATCAATAAATAGTAAGAACGGACACTCTATAATACTGTCTATCATAAGGGAGTAACCAAAGTTTCATGTTAACAATTATTTCTCTTGTCATGATTATGAGGATCTGTACATTATTAGACAACTTTCAATTGCCAACCAATTGGGGTATAGTCACATACGACTTGCACATTTGCCTATATGGAATAACATTTGGTGCGATGATTTTATAGCTTCAGCGTGCATGAAAAAGGCTATGGTGATAAAAAAAATACTTACAAGCACTGACTAAAACATCTCTGAGCATGTAGTATATATGAAATTCAATGTGCAGATATATATATTATATGATACCAATAACTAACATATATTTTGCAAACTTGCGTTACAATTCTGTGGAAGGGTATGAATACCGAATGGATTGATGTTTGAACAACTCAAATATAATATACTCCTAGAATTCAAAACGCAAGCTTTTTGTCCAAAACATAGTGTCTGTGTGGAGAATGTACGTATTTACTCACAAGCAATCATTATGAATTATGTATGTCACGTCATGTACTCCTGTCTAATTTGATATCTTCCATTGTTTGTTCCTCATTTACAATATAGGTTCTCTGTTTTCCCTCCGAGATTTCAGGATCTTCCATATTAAAGGTGGGGTTATTAAAGTGTGGCTCGTCTGAGAAATGTTGCTTGTCATAGCCGTTTAACTCCTCGGGTTTCTGTTTAAGCGTATGCGACATCCGGTGTCTGAAACAGGAAGCGGAAGCTGTTTGTGCATGCGCAGTTGCAAGCAAGACAGGAAGCTCGGCATGGAATGACCCAGTTTAACAAGGCTTCCTTCTGAATTCACTTCATAACTCGAAGAAGCACTGCAAGGCATTACCATGGAGGTGTAAGCAAACTTTGACGAAATGTGACAGGTTGACTTCTAGAAAATGTGACTATGTGAGTGACAATTTGTTGTCATACATGCTGCAGAAAACACCATCTCTAAGACAGTGATAAGATGACAGTGATCCAGAATAAGATGGGTGCCATGGTAAGAGATCTGAGGTGGTTCGATGACAAACAATTAATTGAAGCAGAACAAGCTACAGATGAAGCAGGCGAACCTATACTATTATCAGGACCACTCACCTTCTGTTTCGTATCACCAACACGATCACTATGATGATAATCAATAGCAATAGTAGACCGAGGACGATCCCAAGTGGAATGGCCCAGTCAGACTGAAAAGATTGAAGAAATCGTTAATGTTGATGTGTGGAGTCTGGGTCAACTTGCACAAAGCGTTCTTACTTAGCGCTACGACGAGATGATCTTAACTCGGATGCTCTAACAGATTTGCGATAGTCGTAGCACTAAGATCGTTTTGTGCAAGTGAGTCCTGGGAAAGAAAAAAGACATAAGTCAATGTTAAGTCTTTCAATGGCATTTAGCAGTGAAACACATAAGGAAGAAAATTTATGGATGTCAACTTCTTTATCATGGGGAAACACAAATTTTCGGAATATATGCTTACTACTTCGTCAGGTGAATGAAGACGTAAGGAGTAAGCATATACTCCGAAACGTTGTGTTTCCCCATAATAAAGAAATTGACATCCATAAATTCTCTTCCTTAAGGCAATGTTGATATATAGGAATATAAAACTCTTGGTTGGAATCTTAAATGGTTTGAGAATAAATGTATCATCAATTGGACTACCCCAAATCACATTACATTTCTCAAAAACCTTGCCGAAAGTCCATATCCAGTGAACAGTAAGCAAACTACACATGTATTGAGCTACGTATGAAACCAAAACCAAGAAGGCATATCAGTCTCCGATGTGTCTCCGATGTGTCTCCGATGTGTTTTCATGTGTATATGAATGTGTATGAGTTTTTTAACAGTCGTTATAGCATGTTCATAGGTACCGCTCTCACTCACCGTATTTGACTCGTCGTCATTTTTCCCCTTGTAAACTGTTAAGTCTAAGGGGGATATTTCATTTCCTATCAGATCATCTTGTGGTGTTGTCAAGTCATTCTCTGTAAAAGCTGATGGACCTCCGGCTGGTGTCACAATATACCGGAGTTTTGTTGGCGCATCCCTGTGATGAAAAGATTTTCATGAACTTGAAATATATAACTCATGCGCAGAGGATACACACAACTACAAACATACGATTAGGTTGGTCCTAGTTTTGCCTCTTGTAAACTACGCCTGAACTATATTATATTTGAATTATCTAATGCGTGATTACGGAAGGTACCATATTGGGTACTGTGTATTTGTGTGTGTATGTGTGTGCATTTATGTGTGTGTGTGAGAGAGAGAGAGAGAGAGAGAGAGAGAGAGAGATAGACAGAGACAGAGAGTTGTGTGAGATCATGTGCATGTTTCAAATCCTTATAACATGAATCAGAATCTAATTTCACATTATACATCGGTTCGGGCAATAAATGTTTTACTCACCCTTCAACCTTCTTGATTCCGACTGTCAGCGTACCAGTATAATCTGAAAGGTAATCATGCTTATGATATAATCGGAATCCTACAATGGAGTCTGCTTTTAGTAGAGAGGGATTATGATTATGCAAACGTCTTTGCTTTTATTTACATACAGTCAGCGATAGTAACACTCTTGATAAGAAACATTCTTTGTGACATGAGAGAAATAAAGGATATAATTAAGTAGTTTCTAAACAACGATTAGCTTGGCTTACCTGGGTTGGCCTGCATCCAGGCTTTAGTGAGAGCAGTTTCCAGGCCAGCAGTATCATTACCCACAACGCCTGTTACCATTATCTCACGACCTTCGCGGGCTAAGCACCCACATGGAGTGGCTTCAGGGGTGGTACTGAATTTCTGACCCAGAGTCCCTGCGTCCACCCCTTCAAACCTCGTCCAGTGGGAGTCGCCTCCCAGAAGGGCCACTGTGTACGTCACCTGCGTCACTTGGTCAGCACTGAGGACAATTAGTGATGAGATAACACAAAGTCTTTGTAAGTCACATACTCTCGAATACATGGTCTACATAAAATACACACAGTTTACACAGAATAGACATGATACACACAAATGTGACCTACAATGAGTGAGTGAGTGAGTGAGTTTGGTTTTACGCCGCTTTTAGCAATATTCCAGCAATATCACGGCGGGAGACACCAGAAATTGTACCCATGAATCGAACCCGGGTCTTTGGCGTGACGAACGAACGCTTTCACCACTGGGCTACCCGACCGCCCCTGACCTACCATGAGATAAGAGACCTCATGGGTGAAAGATCACATTTTGACTTCTCATTATATTTTAAAACTACAGTATCTCAGGAACCCAGGAACACAATGCACAAGTTTCAATTCTTATCCATTAAAGAGATACTTGACATCAAACGTGGACCAATTCTCTGCAAAATCCCATTTTCAGTTTTGAAATAATAACTTGCAATAATTTAGATATAATGACTGATTAATGGAAAGTAGAAATGCATGCTAAAATGTTTTGATTAATGCTTTTATTACATTACTACCTAACAAGAAAAATAAGATATTGTTGTACAATCCTCATAGATCTATCTGGCGATTTTTACCTACAAGGTCCCTTTTCTCAAGGCGGGTCACAAATATTCAGTACCATATTCGACGTAATAAGCGCCCAGGGCACTCTCAAAATTAGAAATAGGGGGCTCTTATTAGAATATCATTTTGGTGAAAAAAAGTTGTACGAATAGAAGGTACGTTGGTGACCTTATACTTGTGTGGTACTCGCTATTTGTCAGTGATACATGTCGAAATATATGTGAAACATTCTTGAACGTGACGTTAAACCTAATTTCCCCTCATCACCTCATCAATGATAAACCAATTGAAAATATGTTCCTTTTTTCATCCGTGGTAGAATGGGACTGCACAATACATTTACATCACATAGTATGTACGATACCTTGTTGTACTGTAGAAATTGTCGTTCATGTCACTGACCACGACTGACACATTTTCTTTGGGGATCCCAAGACTGCTACCTGCACAAATCAGAAAATATATGTAACAATAGTTCCCAAATGTCCCAATAGGACATACTAGCTTTTACAAGTGTGGGCTTACTCCAAATTCTACCTACAGGTACATCCTGGCACCCTATGGTGGTAAGAACAATTATCTCAATGTAATACAATCCTGAAAGACAGCGCTTGGAGTCTATATGGTTACTCTTCATTGTAAACTGCCAGGCAAAAGTAAGTATTCACTTCAAAACTGGATTTGACCTAAAATTACAAACGTTAGCAAAATGTTATACAAAGCTAAAAACAGTCTTCGAAACGCCGCAAATTCTTTAGACCCAAAACGAAAGGAATACACCACCATCGAATAACCATTGGTTTTTTGTTTCAGTTTTAGCCACCACACACATGGGTGTATACTTTCTTTTGCACAGCAGTTTACATAACTGATCATCACATCGCATTGTAGTCATCCCATGTTTGCTATACTTTACGTCCATTTTAATCATGAGGTGCCATGGGGTTCTCTTGTCCCTGACATCCACATAGGAATCGTGTAATGGAAGGTATCTGCCTCCCTTGAATTTGATATGTTTATCTGCCTACAATTTTATTTAAGTATACTGGGTGTTACCAAGACAAAGAACTGTTTTGAGTTGGAATCGTTCAATGGACTATGAAATGAAATATTTCTTTTGATTCTGGGAATGATTTTGTTCTAAGAATTGTTCTGCATGGAGAGAATAAGTAAGCGCCACTGGCTAATCTTTTAACTCTTTCAAATGTAACCAAATGACTTACTCCAGGCGTTCAGTAGACCGTCCGCGACTGTATTTCTTTTGTCATCGCCGAGACTGCCATCAAAATTAAAGGTGAATGTTTTCTTTATTGGTAGTGAAGGGCGTTCAAGGTTGTGATTGGTTAAAATTTCATCCAATCTTTCCGGCTTCAGTGCGGTTGACTGAACGTTTCCATCCTCTATTGCCGGTCTGTAGAACACCCGTGTAACTGGTTCCCTAGTAATATAACAATGACAGTTGTTGATTAAACATTCTTAAAGGATGCAACGCACGAAAACAAAATTAGTAGGGCCCAATAACGAGATAAAAATGAAACTGCTGGTTTTGAGGTCGCCCTCTGTCCTTGCTTCGCTGTTAATACTACGACTAATAATATTTATATAACCAAGACTTATAGTAAATTTATAGTAAAACTGTTGGAGACCAAGATCAGAGCAAAGGAAATAAACCATGTGTTAACCTACTCGAACTGTGAGTACAGCTGGTCAAGATGTAAATGCTATATATTAACCATACGACTATCCGTCGCCAATCATACTTTATGAACAACTTAACCAAACAACTTACCCATTCCCGTCTAAGAACATTTGTCTATCCACAGTTGAGCCAGTAGTGTCTGAAACAAATGTATAGCATCAGGAAAATACTGTAATACATATATATGGCCCAGTAAGTACATATCCAAAAGGGGCGGTGGGGTAGCCTAGTGGTTAAAGCGTTCACCCGTCACACCTAAGACCTGGATTCGATTCAACACATGTGTGAAGCCCATTTCTGGAGTCCCCTGATATTGCTGGAATATTGCTTAAAGCGGCGTAAAACCAGACTCATAACCAAAATTATTCCTGTATCTTCATCAGTCAAAGGGGGGCACGGGTGGCCCAGTCGTCAAGGCGCCGCGATTCGCTGTGCAGGGTTGCGTCCCTTGGGCACGCCAGAAACCTATGATTGTGGGTTCGAATCCCGGTTTGCCCCTATTATGTTTCTAGGTTTGTCAGCACCATACCGTGCTCGTGGGTTTCACTGAAGTGGTAAACATCTGAGACCTGCATCACTTCGGGCTTTCCTCCCACATTAAGCTGACACGCTGTGATATGACTGGAATACTGTTAAAAGAGGCGTTAAACCCAACTCACTCACTCACTCACTCATCAGTTAAAGATACAATATTATTCATGTTTGGGTGACTTGGAATCTGTAGCATAACACGAGTGATGATTAAATTTGGGGTCCACGTCAGCATCCTTTTGGACTGTATTCAACTTATCGTAACTGTATCGGCAGAAAATCTAGGATGGTTATTCTCTTGAATTGACAATTTTATTTACATCAGGGTTGCAAAAACACATCCACAATAAAATGTGGTTATAACGAATACGATTTCTAAAGGACTATCAAGGTTTTACCTACAAAGCATTTCAAATATTTCAGTTGTACCACTGTGTGTCAGCTTATTGTGGGAGAAAGTGACTCCGGTCTTAGGTGTTTACCACTTTGGTGAAACCCATGAGCATTGGTATGATTCTGGAGACATCTGACGAATCTGAATTGAATCGAACCAACAACCAACAACCTAAAGACACAGCTTTGCACAACAAATCCAGCGCCTTAAACGACTAGGTCACCAAAGCCATCACACCCCAACGGGTGCATGTACTGACTGGACTATCGGATAACATGCAGATAACTTTTCGAAGTGAAAACAAACTCGCCATGATTAAATTGTTTACCTGCAGGGTTGAGACTAGTTCCTAGTTCAAGCAACTTCGACCACTGTAGCTGTCCTTTCACATCTACGAAAGGTACTGGGATGGCGTCACAATCGCAAAAGATGCCGCCTGACAAATTGATGCTGGTGCCTGGTCCAATGAGGTATCTATCACCAAGTTTGACGAAATATTCAACGTTGGTTACGGAAGTGCTGAAGATAAAAAGAGGTAATAGAGTGAGCAACAAATTATTTATTGATGTTCCTATTCAGATAATCACATTTACTGATCAACGTGGATAGGATTTGTGGTGAGAGACTATTGTTGTCGGCAACTGCTTCAAGACATTTGTTATCGGAACAACTCATTTTTTCCTCACGATTTATTTTGTCCAGTGTTAATACCAGTAGCACCGGTGTGTTATATTTAAGAAATAAACGACTCGTTCGAGTTGCTTATTTCTTATATTAGATATCAACATTTTGTACAGTCTTTTTAAGGATGTCAATAAATTGTACAAGCTTTAAAAACATTTACCCTAATTTAATTAATGATGACACCCCTAATACAATCAGACCTTGGCAATGTTGGACAAGTCCATTTTATGTACATGGGGGTTAAGGTTGGTATTCTCACAATTGTCACGTCGCTTATCTGCACCTTTTCTCCCAATACCGATTGTAATATCTCTCCTACTTTTGGATGCCATTATTTGACCATTGCTCCATTGCACTGTCCAGCTACATCTATGGGGAACAACTCACGAGACACTTCCTTCTAAAAAAAAGTGTCGCCCCATTTACGACATCATGACTTTGCATGCACATGTTCGAATCTCCAGAAATGATGTCATGACAGAACAATGTTTTATTTTGAAACGAACCACGATTCGTTTTTCATTGTTCTTTACGATTTATCCCATAGCTCTCTTATATAAATTAATACTAACCCTGCTTGTGTGTAGTATTTCTGAGGTCGCAGTAGCAAAATTTCCAAAGGCACTGCACGTAGATTGTCTGGAACTGAATAAATATACCTACATGTATACACACCACTTGGAGTAAACAAGATAAAAACAATGACAAGAATTGTAAAATATTGATTCTAAAGTATCAGCATTTTCACACTTTCAGAAGAATGTTCCGAAATCATGAAATACACCTACTGCACCCAAAACCATTGGGAGCATAAATACGCTTCAGTTCCATTTGAACTGAATAGAGTTGACTATATCAACATTCTGAACCAACACGTAACGATTCTGTCTTAAAAAATGTGTAATTTGAGTATTTACTTTTTTTAAATATTTCTCCATAGCCATAACCACCAAACAACATCACGTAAATCTAGTGGAACAACATCTTACATACCTGCACTGTTTGTGTTCTGCCACCTCTTCCATTCTGTCTGCAATGTGCGTAAGACCTCTTGGCCTTGTTCACTGGTCATATCAACAACCCTATTGAGCACCACACTGTGATGTTGGTCGTAGGGAAGTAGGGTGGACCCATAGTACAGGGGGTTCAGTGTTTTGTCGTTGTCTACAGCTGCAGAGAGTACTTCTCGGGGAGGGGAGGGGACAGTTTCAGCATTCTGAGCTTGTCCATCCCGTGTAATGGTGTAATACACTCTGGTCACGACCATGCTGAAATTTGGCCCGAGAGAACAGTTATGAAAATTTTAATACACGTAATTAACATAATTAATTACAATCTGTATCATAAATTAAATGTAATCTGAGTAGATTAACTTATAATAATTATGAAACGTGTGATAAAACATGATCTAAACAGTATATTCCAAATGTGATTTTTTTTGGTTTATATAAGAAACAATTAAAATCATAGAATCTTGTTCTAATATATCATGGAATATGTTTTACGACAAGCAGATTAAGATTTACCTTATTCGATGTAATAAGCGCCCACAGCGATTTTTGCTCATATATTAGCTACTGAACAATCCCAATTAGCACCCCTTCCGATTGATCAATATACACAAGACTTACTTATTCACGTATAATACACACTTGTGTGTTATATGCACTCTTAACTATGGGCAACTAAATTTTGGAAAAATACATCTGTCATATATAAACATTTCAGGCTGTCAGCATAAACCACAAATTTACGATCTTTCAACTGTTTTTTTCACCAAAATAATATTCTGATAAGAGTCCCCAATTTCTACTTTTGAGAGCGCCCTGGGTGCTTATTACGTCGGATACGGTAACTACACAACCATGTATCGTCTCCTTGGTTCTGGGAAGGTACAAGTCAGATAATGACCCAACACTCGTTTAGTTTCCATGTATAAGTTCAAAGTTTACCCGTAATCGCCGGAGAGTTGTTTTGTTAGAAAGATATCAGCTTTGAACTGGCAACCACAGTCTGTCAAAGTAGAATTTACATGAGATATTATTTATACTGATTTGAAACATTGCGGACGGTACACATTGTGTAACATTAATTACGAACACGCACAAGACAGAAAGCAATGAAGGAAAGGAAAACAAAAGGAGGAATGCAAACATTTGATGGCAATGACATGGAGGCAGTGCATGCGGAGAGGACATGGTTCATGTGAGGATTAAGAAAGGTATGTTTAGAGGGCAAAACAAAACACTACAGCTACACAGACACAACACAACACAACATTATTAACACAATGTCGTAAGAGGCATAATAAGTAATGATATATATGCATTTGATTCCCGTTGGGTCAAGTTACAAGAACAATGTTTGATATGGTGTTTCAAAACAGGCCATTGGTAACCTTGATTTAAGCATACTTCGACATAGCAATACTCAAGACAAAAAGAGTTCGGTTTACAGTAAACTACGGTTATAACGAACTCAAAGGGTCCCCTAAATTTAGAACGTTATAACCATAGTTTGTTATAAACACACCTACAGCATATATACAGCAAATGGATGGGACCAAAAAAACAATGTTATAAATATGTTTGTTATTAACATAGTTTACAGTATTTAACGCTACCATGCGACCACATTTAATGTTCATTCTCTCAAATATATACATTTACAGTTTGTAAGAAAAACGCTTTTACCAGGATAGGTATTTCTCCAAGATTGTTCAATGGCATCAACGATGTTTTGTCTGTCTTCGACAGTTCCAGTGATGGACATGCTGTAGGTGATTCCAAGGTTTCTGAGCCCCCCCGAGGGACCAGTGTACACTGCAACCCCATTCCATCGGAACTGAGGCACACTCTGGAGTTCTCTGTTAAGCTCATTAGTCAAAATTCTGCTTTGTTCGGGGGTGAGTTCGTTCACCGTTCCTCCAGTAGAGTTGGTCATGTTGTACCGGTAGCCTACAACCGTCTCTCTGCAGGAACAGAAATGCAATTAGTGACAATTCCTTTCTATTTAGTTTATAAAATGCAAGCCAGTCATTTGGTAACTGTGCCTTTAGCAATTGGTCAGCCATATCACAGAAGGGACACCCATTGTACATGTTGTGGGAACGGTACTGAACGATTCTTTTAAACATTGGTCTATGATTGATCCACTCAACATATTACCCTTGATTATTCAGTGATTACACCTACTGTGGTATTTTTGTATTTAGTATGTGAGGCCAACAACCCAAAACATGCAGTTATCATTGAGTCAAGAGGATTTGTCAAATGCGCCCTTTTCAAGACTGTCTGAGAGGAGTTGGTTTTTACGCTGCTTTTAGCACTATTCAAGTCATATCATGACACGCATGGGGGGAGAGGGGAATTATTGGTTGGTTGGTTTGTTGTTTAACGCCGCACTCAGCAATATTCCAGCTATATGACGGCGGTCTGTAAATAATCGAGTCTGGACCAGACAATCCAGTGACTGATATCATGAGCATCGATCAACGCAATTGGGATTGATGACATGTATCAATCAAGTCAGCGAGCCTGACCCCCCGATCCCGTTAGTCGCCTTTTACGACAAGCATAGTCACCTTTTACGGCAAGCATGGGTTGCTGAAGACCTATTCCGGATTTTTTTAACGGGTCAGAGGGGAATGAATTAATCTACCCATTGCGTTAACCACTAAGTTTCCAAACAGTCTCAGAGAATCGCTGAAGTTCGCCACGTCGATCTCATTTATGTAATGGATTATTGTGTTCTGTTAAGCACATATGTATCAGCATACCAACTTATAAGTGTATGTCAGATACTGTTATAACTGTTGAAAGTAACAATGTCTTACTCTGCAGGGTTAATATAGTTTGTCCGCTTCAGAATATCTATCTTTACACAGCAGGATGATCCTACAGAAAGTAAACAAATACACATTGGTAATACATAACGTTTAAACATGTTTTATGGTTCCTGATTCTTAAACATCTTTAACATTAAATATCAAGGATGTAACATTTAATAGGTAACCACTCTAATTTGTGAAAAAATCAAATAATGGAGGCATAAATGCACAACAAAAATTTAAAAAGAGATTGCGTCAGTGACATGTTCTTTGCAATCATTTCCACACTTGCAGTCATTATATATGTCAGGACATACAAATTCTATGTTATTCTTATATATGAGACTTATAGATAGACTAATATAGACAAATGTATGAGACTTATCAATATCAATTGACAGAAATAAAGGTTTCATATACATATGTGTGCACTTAGTAGTTAAAATACCATTCAGAGGCAAATTAATCTTGCCATTATAAAGAACATAGTTCCTCTTACCACTGTTGATTCTGTCCATGGCTCTCTGTAATGAGGCTTCTACTGCTGGCTGATCGAGGTCGTTAATGTTTCCTTTCAAATAGATACCCCCAACACGGTACATCGGCCCAGGTGTAGTCATTGTTGTTGAAGTACTCGTTCCGGATCCTCTTCTAGTTATTTCACCTCCGAAAACGACAAGATCTGGTGTTGTGAAATATCGAGTCGGGTCCACGCCCTCAAATCTCGTCCATCGGGAGTCAGCTCCCCGGATGGACACAGTGTAGGTCATTCTGGTCACAGGGGCATTGCTAAAAAAATAGATTTTCTTCTATGAATAAATACTGAAGTAATTAGGACAGCGAACTGATGGTCCATCTACATGCATAAATGTATGTATATTGAAATAATCCATTTCTTCCGTGATCGGCATGATTGTATCATCAATGAATGATCAAGTATTACATGGGTCCATTCACAGTTTGGGTTAAGCACTGGAATCATATTTGTAGCGCCATGTGTGAAATTGAGTAAATAACTGGCATTGTTATTAAATTTATTTAGAAAATTTGTGTTACAGAGAGTAAACCTGTTTTTTAAAGGGCCAGGCCCACATTAGCAAGTACTGCTGAATAGAAACTGCACTTGCAGTATCTATCTAAACCACTATACCTTGAACTGACATAACCGTCATCTAGGCTTTCAATGTTAACAGACAGGGCATCAGAGGGGATGTTGAAAGTACCAACTGAAATGCAGAATGTTTTTTTAAGAGCTTTGTAGGGTAAAGTATATTCTGATGATCTAAATCGTAAGATTGGTGTTACATATTTTTTCTGTTGGTCTAAATACATCATAACTAATTACACATTATAATATGTAAGTTATGCCCGCCATTGTGGAAAAATGAATATAAGTAAATGAATATTTCAGTTATTTGTTAGAATATTTTAAGTGAAAATTTGTTTGTTTTGTTGCTTAACACCACACTCCAGTATATATGATGGCAGTTTGTAAATGATTGAGTCTGGACCAGACAATCCAGTGATCGACATCATGAACATCGATCCACGCAATTGGGATACAATGACATGCATCAACCAAGTCAGCGAGTCTGACCACCTGATCCCGTTAGTGACCTCTTACAAGCAAAGTCGCCTTTTACGACAAGTGCACACATATATGTATCAACTTACTCCAAAGATTTTTAATGGTCTGTTGGATTTGTGCTCTCTTATCATTTCCAACGCTTCCTTCAAAGTTCAAGGTGAAGGTCTTTTCAGTTGGCAGTGTAGGCTCTTCCAAGTTCTGATTGGTCAATATTTGATTTACTCTCTGCGGACTAACGGCTGTTGACATCACATCCGGTCCTGATATTTGGGGTAGGTAGTACACACGTGTTACTGGTTCACTGTTGAAGAGGAACTCATGTAACTTATAAAATTCTTCATTGACTTTATAACTATATGTATTTTAGTCATTAATCAGTTTGATGTATTACTTTGCTTATGGCAAAACTAGATATATTAAGAAATTTTATACTCTCATAAATATGCATTTATTAAATATGCAATTTAAAACTTACTTATTGGAAGTGATGAAAAGTTCGCTTATAGTGTCAGATCCATCTGAAACAAAATATAGTATATCGTCAACAATTATAAAATGAAGTACTCCCATTTATTAAAATGCATAATGCATTAGTATATGCATATTAATACCATTTGCAATAGTCTGGTGAAAATAGGAAATTAATTTCAATGTGGGCTGTTTTCAATAAGATAATATATCCTAGTATTGGTATCACATGCATTTATTCGTTAACTGACCTGAGGGGTTGAGGCTAGATCCAAGGCTCTTAAGCTGATCTGATGAAAGGAGACCATTGACTTCAATGAACGGAACCGGAATTGCATTGCAATCACAGAATAGCGGGCCCTTCACTGTGACCCTCTCTGTCTGTGGTTGGGGTCCAATGACATTGGTGCCATTCAAAATGACGAAATACTCGAGTTTTGTCAGCCTTTTTCTGAAGAAATGAATGAAATGTAACTGAAAAAAATATCCCTTCAAAACTAGTTGGAGTGAAAGTGTATCAATTTCTTTTCCATGAACCTGTTGTATCCAGTTACCAAAACATTAAACAATTACTCAACAAAGAGGTTATTAGAGTGTTGCTCGTAGAAACCAACCCTTAATTATCCAGAATGCCCCGCTTTCTTGGTTAAGCCAATTTCCAAACGTATGTCATGAAGTGCAAACAGTCCTTATTGCAATTATGTAGAAACAGTTTGATACATTTGGATCTGTGGAAAAGAGTGAGTGAGTGAGTTGGGTTTAACGCCTCTTTTAACAGTATTCCAGTTATATCGTGGCGTGTCAGCTTAATGTGGGAGGAAAGCCCGAAGTGATGCAGGTCTCAGACGTTTACCACTTCGGTGAAACCCACGAGCACGGGTATGGTGCTGACAAACCTAGAAACATAATCGGGGCGAACCGGGATTCGAACCCACAATTATAGGTTTCTGGCGTGGCCAAGGGACGCAACTCTGCACAGCAAATCGCGGCGCCTTAGACAACTGGGCCACCCGTGCCCCCCTGTGGAAAAGAGAGTCGTATGATAACAGGCGCTGTAGTCCTACCCGTCTTGTGTGTAGTACAGCAGTGGTCGAAGTGGTCGGATCTCGACTGGAGCATTCCTCAGGTTTTCAGGTACTGAAAATAACACAATTTCTTTATTCGTCTAATTCAGTTCGTTTCAAGATGACCTGGGAATGTCAACATATCATGTGAAACGATAATGTTATTCACAAGACAAGGGTAATATGGCATAAGTATGAAACTGACTATACCCATGTTTCGCAAGTATCTGGTATTGGCACAGTTTGATAGTGATTCATAAACACCTGCAGAACCAAAAAGTGGACTCTGCTTTTACCGGAGATTTCTTATGATTATTGAAATAGGTTTTGTCGCTTTAAATTTATAAAAAAATCAATTTATCCAAAATAAGGCAAATCTTTGCGCACCTGCTTGGTCGGCGTTTCTCCATGTGTTCCAGGTAAATCTGATCTGATCCAGGACTTGTTGCCCCTCGTCACTGCTCATGTCCACCACCTTGCTCAGGAACACATTTTGGTGCTGGCTGTAAGGGATGAGTGTGGCACCGGAGTAGATGGAGTTGACACTGGCGTCTCCCTGCACTGTGTTGTAGAAGACCTGACGTGTTGGAGGCGTTACGCTTTTAGGGTCCTGGACTTGTCCGTCCTTTGTGATTGTGTAGAACACTCTGGTTACCAGGGTACTGGAATAAAAGAATATACATGTGTTATATATATATATATATATATATATATATATACTAGTCTGGTTACTATTTCAAATCCTTTATATTTTGCATAAGTGACATTTATGTTATAAGGAAGAGAAGTGAAAAAACGGGATCATAGAGACATACATGTTTATAAGTAGTTTGTTGCAGTGGGCATTCATTTTGGACAATTAACATCAAATGTAATAATTCTCTAATGGCATTACTTACAAAACAATAATCGGACTATTTGTCTTGACATGTTCATGGAGATATTTAGTTCAGACACAAAGTCACTTCAACCCTAAAGTAGTTTGTTGTATCAGTTGCTTTGTTATGTCTGCGTTTGTTGAAAACACTTTTTTGAGTATATAATGGGAACGCTTAACTATTGTATGGGCCTCATCTATGACTTACCCAAAATCTCCTGATAATTCCTCCGTTGTTAAAATACTAGCCTTGAACAGACATCTGCAATCTAGAAAATACAAAAGCAAATTAAGAAACCTATTGATAATGATATTGACAGTTGAGTTCAAAGTTACATCTTCAGAAAAGAAATATCAAAAGAAACCATTGAAAAAATCCCAATGCATACACTTGTTCTGTACTTGCACTGTCAGGCCGCTGTTAGCTTAACGTGGAAAGGAAGGACAAACTAACAAAGAACCCAGACCACGTTGGTGTTTGCTTGTTTGTCATTTAATACCGTACTCAGCAATAATCGAGCTATATGACGGTGACCTGTAAATAATCAAATCTGGACCAGACAAACCAGTGATTGATATTGTGAACAACGTCGGGGTCTACCCAATCCACTTGGTCACCCCTATATGTTGTTGGGGACCACTTCTAAACTGGAATCCCCTTGGCGCCACTTTGGTAAAACGAGCCAGAATGGGTAAGATGCTGATATTCAATTGTATTGCCAATCTGAGACTCGACCTCAAAAGAAGCGGATCCGAGACGGCTAAGGGCAGAGCTGTGCACAGCACATTGTTTCCACACTTACTCTACTATTGACCACTTTTATGAGCCCTTATATATTAAGATATGTTCACTGTCAATACACTCACCGGGATTAGAGCTACGCCATGCTTTCTCGATATCAGTTATAACGGCTCCTCGTTGGGCCTGGGTCATTTCGCCTATGAAATCAACAGTGTATGTGCTTGTGGGAGCTTGTATAAAGCCTTGGTATACTTGTATTCCTTGTCCTCGGAAGAGTCCCGATGTTTGGAGTTCATTGTTCACCTCTCTGGTGAAATTGTCCTTTTCTGTGGGCGTCAAGACGATGGGAGTACTTCCATTGGTGGCGTTATACCGGTAGGCAGTGATGATGTTTCTGTTCATGAAGGAAAAGTATTTTTAACTTTACTCATACTTTCCTAACACAATGAAGGGACTAATTTTTGTTGCCATATTTTCCTTTCTATTGATGCATAACATTACTTACCCTGCAGTGTCCAAGTAGTTTGTCTTGTCAGTGATGTGTAGCTCTATGCAACAAGCAGGCCCTGGAATAATACAGTTATTTGTGTTATTTTGTATAAAATACAATGCATGTATTTACTCACTAACAACCATTATGAACCGATCGATACCAATACAAGTACCAATACAAGGCTATCAAAATACTATTATACTGAATAGTGTTTCTAACTTTTTTATGAATAAATAGTACTCATCGATTATTTTCCCCCAGAAGAATGCCATCTTCCCGAGGCAAGTGAGTTAACTAACTATAAAAGTCCAGTTTCCACCCTTGCCGAACTAGGCTGGTATTATGGAGTTACATTTTGGCTGGACTTACGAGTCAATGCATAGTCCAATCGAAATCGCGCACCGAAATCGAAATCCGGTTCGTTAAATGTCATGCTGATTTCTGTCGATTGCAGGATTTGCAAAGCATGTGCACCGCCAACTCGTTGTCAACAGATATTTTCCAAGTCTTTTCATGTTTTTAATCAAGGTACTCACGTGATTTAATGCACTTCGCTATGTAAAACCTGTTTTATCACAATATAGATCTTGAAAGTCGCCATTTTGTTTGAAGCAAATGCAAGTGATACGAGAGGTGGAATCTGATTGGTCCATATGAGAGGCTTAGAAGGGACATATCTCGTAATAACCACTGTTGGCGCTATGGTGGAGCCCAGGAATTCCAGCCTAGTTCGGCAAGGGTGGAAACTGGACTTTTAAAGTCAGTTACCTCCCTTGCCTCTGGAAGATGGAAGAATGCACGCTTTCTACACATTTTTATTATTCACCCCTGCGGAGTTATATAAGTATGTACATAAACATGAAGTCCATATGGATGGAATAACAATCTTTATTCATCTGTTTACCGTTCTTTGTTTTATTGAGAGCATTCTTCAAGATTTCCTCCATAGCAGCCTGATTGTTGTCGCTGATGTCGCCAGTCAGATAGATAACGCTATCCAGGTTGGTCATGTCTGTCGGGGATGGTGTTGTGGCCGTCGATCCTGTTCCTGAGGTTGTCTGTGTGGTTCTTTCAACATTTCCTTCAACCAAGGTGAAGCCGTTAGATCTGAAATATTGGCCTAGCGTGCCAGGGTCGACTCCTTCAAACTGTGTCCAGCGAGAGTCCGCTCCTTGTATGGTTACTGTGTAGATGACCCGGGTCACAGGTGTGTTGCTGTAAAAGAGTATCGGTTGAACATGTTGCCCTATTTACAAACAGATTCAAGACCTCCACCCAAGAATAATAAGAATAAGAGCAGTTTTGCCTTCCATATTTGTTTCACCTGTCGCAAGTTAACGTCTCAGAATCATTCTTTTGGTGTTGTCAAAGAAATAGAAAGATGGTGGTATGTGGTATGGTGGAAATTCATGAAGCTATCAAGCAGCTACCACGCAGCTGTATCCATGCAGTATCCAGTCGTAGAAAGTCGTTCAAAACGACATCGGTCAATGTTCTTACCTCATGAAGACATTTATATTCTTGAATAATGGAGGGGATGGGTGAGTGTGACTTTTAACGCCACCAGTGCGGTGAATATGTAAGTCATAAAGATTCATTTTGGTAGAATAAACACGACCTGGCTGCCAAACGAATGATATTGCTCATGGTAGCCATAACATTAGATACAAGGTAAAACATTAAAATGAAATTAATACGACAGAATACCGATGTCAAGATGTTACCTTGCTGAGCTGACGTAACTATCATCCATACTCTTTATATCAACACTCAGACGGTTGGCTGAGATGTTGAATGTAGAACCTGAAAAATATATAACCATTTTAATAGGGCTGGGACAGGTAACTCGGGTACTCGGGTCGGGTGAGTACTGAGTATCAGCACTACTCGGGCCCGTGGTTAGTCACGTGATATACTGTTTAGTGACAACAATTATCTAAAACTCTTTGGTTACACTACAAGTCACTAATGTTTGCATTTCTTTCTGACTATGCACGCATTTCCTCTGACTTGTTTGAATAAATATGAACTTCAGTCAACTTCAGTGTATGCATGACCTGATCGTGTTATACGTGTATCTAAATACATTTCGCCAGGGCTACGGTAAAAGATTTCCCAATCGGACATCTCTTGACACCTCTAGCGGGTACCCGGGTAGGGTCAGGTAATAGGTGGGTGGGTACCCGGGTACTAAATTTAGACTCGTCCCAGCCCTACATATTAACGTGAATAATTGTATTGTCAACTGAAAGACATGATGTTTTTAGTCTAAATAATATTTAGCCATCTCCAGTTTTGTCTGGTGTGGTATGCTATAAGTGGACTGGGCAATCAGCCCCGTGGAGTTATTCATAATCATTTTTTTGCGAATTGATTTGTGGTTAGTTTAAGAGCAAAACATATGCTCGCCACGCCGAAGGCCCGGTTCGAATCGAACATGGGTACAGTGAGTAAAACCATACTCGCTCATGCAAACAAAACATAATAAGCAATTAACAAAAAATAATGATATGGTAAGGTTATAATTCAATGTAAGATGTGATGTACCAGTACAATGAAACCAAATTGTCAAATGTTACTTGTACCAAGGGTAATTAAGTAAATGATTCTTTCCACAAGAATTAAAGCGTTTACTTCTCACGCCAAAGGCACGGGTATGGTTTCCCAGTTAGGTGCCCGCCATTGTGATATTTCTTGAATATTGCTAAAAGCGGCATAAAACCATGCTCACTCACTTTCCTCGATAACATTTGCAGTGCATATGAGGAAGAAAGTTACATGTGCATATATATCAACTTACCCCAAAGATTTCGTATTGTTTGTTGGATGGCACTTCTGTCATTGTCGCCAATACGACCGGCAAAGTTCAGTGCAAAGGACTTTTCTGTCGGCATTGTAGGCTGTTCCAGATTCCAATTGGTTAATATTTGATTCAGAGTCTGCTGACTGACAGCTGTTGATGTGACATCTGGGCCTGATATGGGGGGTCTGTAGTACACTCGTGTCACTGGCTCGCTGTAAGCATTTCGTATATTATTTCATTAAAAACATTATCCATGTTTCATTCTACAGGTAGGGCATGCTTACCTTTTGGGAACGCCCGGGTCATCACTAAATTTAGAGATCATTTCCTAAAATTTTCAACGCTATTTTGCTTTTACGACCAACAAAATCTGTTTCATATGGGATAACTGAGTCTTATTTTTCTATGGCGTCGACGTTATTCATTTACAATCATGAGAATACTTACTTCATACTGTTTCCACATGAATGCGCTCATTTTAACATGCAATAGTACACGTAATTGCATGTACAGGCATTGGCTACAAATTGTATATCTTGATACTGTCAAATATTTGTTGACATGGTATTTCTGATGTTACGTGCTCACAGTAATGTCTTTGTGTTGGGGAGAAAAACATCAAAACTTTTCAACCCTGTGTATAAGACTACCCCCCTTGAAAGCCCCCAAATTCTAGGTACGAAAAACTCCATATACACAGCGATATACAATATTTAAACTCACTTGTTGGAACTGATGAACATTTCACTCATTGTGACCGCTCCAGCTGAAACAAATAAAATCTATTTCAAAGAGAGCAAAATTAAACAAGCTTTTTTATTATTGACAATCTATGACCTCGATAGTTCGATACTTATGTTAATCTAAGCTACAAAACTCTTTCCATAATCATAATAAATTTCCATTAATTATTGTACAGTTGACGATCATCTGAATATCACATCGAGTCATATTCGGTACACATGTCCTTATAATGTGTGTGGCTCCAACCTGAGGGATTGAGAGTAGATCCAAGGGTCTTAAGTTCATCAGGCGACAGGCGACCTTTGACTTCTATGAACGGAACCGGAATTGCGTTACAGTCACAGAACAATGGCCCAGTAAAGGTGACACTGTCTGTCTGTGGCTGAGGTCCAATGACAGTGGTGCCATTCAAAATAACAAAATACTCCAGTTTCGTCAGTTGCCTCCTGAAACAGAATGTATTCAATATAAGGTTCAATAACTTGTTAATATATATAAATATATATGCGCGTTTCAATAAAAAAAAACCTCAATAATCTGTATGACTCTTTAAGCTATGAGTACTACCCATAGACTTTCAATCAGAAGGAGAATATTGGACGAAGAACATTACATTATGGGGACCTTCAACAATGTTATTGAGATATACAGGTGAGTTTCTATTTTTCTTTTCTTTGAAGCCGAACTTTGTACTTGGGGAGCACCTTTGCATGTGTAGCAGGGCGTGGAGTCGTCCCACAGATGACATCCTTACCTTGTCAGCTTGCTGACAGGGTTAACCTCTTTGGTCATGTGGACAAGGCGTCCGACCTCGGATCAGAAGGTCCGTGGTTCCAATACCATCATGGGACTCGGAAATTTTATGGCCGCTACATTGTCGACCAACGTGGGGCTGAGCACGTTCATATTCAATCTCATTAAAATCAGATCTTAGTTCTCGCTACCGCTAAACAAAGATCTGAGGACATCCCATTACGGGTCTCGTCAGACCGACCTTGCGCGAACTTTGACCGACCAATAGAATGACCAATCAGAAGGCAGCTTTCTCGTGCTTTACAGCACAAATTTCAAATTGGCGACTACGCTTCAAAACATATTTTGACAAATTCTCGATTACCGTGGTCTCTCTCTCGCGTACGTATATAATCCCTGGTCATGCACGAAACACGTACAATATTCCTCTTCCCTATGACTATATAATTATCTATGTGATAAACTTGTGACCCTTCATTTGAAAAAGTGCATTAAGCTGTCCTATAACATTGCGTAAAACACATGTTAAATTGTACTTACCCATCCTGTGTGTAGTAAATCAAAGGTCTCAAAAGCCTGATTTCGACGGGAGCCTGTCTTAGGTTTTCGGGCACTGAAACATGATGTTAAAATAAGCCTAGCAAGAAATAATAATAATAGCAGTAGTAGCAGCAGCAGTAGTAGCTCAAAATCAACGTGTTGCAGGTTTTAGACGTTTACCACTCTAACACACCCTGGGGGCAAGGTGATTTCGCGAATCTGTGATTCAAATTCAGGATCAAGGTACACCTAAGGGAAGCTACTCCATGCCAATCCTTTTACAACTGGGCCACCCGTATCCCCAATTATGATAATGATAATAATAATTATAGTGTTTCATAAAATCAGCCATCCATACTGGTACATACATAAACAAAAAATCTATTAGATTTTGGCAAATGATTTAAGTTCAATATCTTAAAAAAATACCTTATTTTGCATTTCATCGGGTACAAAATTAATCACACCAAAGTCATACCAAATTGCTCACACGAGTCTTCTAGTACAGAAGGACAAGCACATGCACAAGCCATCAACATGCCCACCTGCAGGAGAAGTGCTTCTCCATGTGATCCAGGTTGATCTGATCTGATCCAGGACTTGTTGCCCCTCGTCACTGCTCATGTCCACCACCTTGCTCAGGAACACATTGTGGTGCTGGCTGTAAGGGATGAGTGTGGCACCGGAGTAGATGGAGTTGACACTGGCGTCTCCCTGCACAGTGTTGTAGAAGACCTGACGTGTTGGAGGCGTTACTGTTTTAGGGTCCTGGACTTTTCCGTCCTTTGTGATTGTGTAGTATACCCTGGTTATCTTGATGCTGTGTTATGAAGAAATAGTATTATCCACCTGATTATAAACGACGCTCACGTTTCATATTGACTTCAAACACATTGTGGCTTTGTTCATGAAATCTAGGTACAATTGTTAATGTAGTACACGAATCGTGTCAGAATTGATACATAATAACATACCCGAAATCTCCTGCGAATTCATCCGTCCGTACAACATTGGCATTAAACTCACATCTGCAGTCTACAAACAAAACATAATTGTTAGCATTAATTACAGGCAAAGGATGTGTTGCTAAATATATAAATAGCATCAATAAAATGTATCCTTTGCATTAGTCGATGGTTCATGTAATAGAAACAAACTATATGTTACAGTAGTAGGGTGCCTACCTGGATAAGCGTTCATCCATGCCTTTATTATATCAGTTAACACAGCTTGTTTTCGTGTTTCTGGTACATCCCCAACGAAATCAACACTATACGTGTCCGCTGGGCCCTGCACGGGGCCTTGGTATATCACAATTCCTTGTCCTCGGAGGACTTCAGATGTCTGTAAACCATTGCTCACTTCGTATGTGAAATTTGCAATTTCTTCAGGAGTCAACATGACTGGCGCACTGCTGTTGGTGGCGTTAAAACGATAACTAGTGAGGACATCACTGCAAGAGAACAACAAGGTCTTGATAAAGATTTTCTCCAGGATAATGTGCTTGAACGACTGATTGCTTGTCAGAGCTACAGATAAGCAGCGTATTTACTTAAAATACCCCCAGAACTATTCTAAACCCAATTACTCTCAATTAACTTGCGTACAGAAACGCATGCATTAAATGAAAAAACTCAAATGTATAAAACAGCTTGTGTAAATACCCAATGAAGCTTTCTCAGCATGCGTACAAAGGAGTTAATTTCCAAAATACAATTACGAGCTAATTCACTTTCCGAGTCAAGCCTATATATCAAGAACAGTTATATACATCTAAAACATTATTTCATTTTTTTTAAATCTTAAAATGTTTGCTAATTTTGGGAAAAACCCAATAGAGTGATGAATAGATAAGTGAAAGATTTTTGGTTACCAAATGAAAAATGTAATAACCCAATTAAAATAGAAACCCAAGAGCAAAAACTCAATTGCTCAAAAAGTTGTCTAGGGATCTGGCTTGTTACATGTATCTGAAATGCATATTTGACATTTTTCCTACTCACCCATTTGGATCAAAGATTGTTGATTGTTCAATGACATACAGCTGTATACAACAGGAGGGACCTGCAATACAAGAAGTACATAAGTTTGTATCTGATTTACATATATATAGAGGATTCATCACGACTGTTTTTTTAATATGGGAAATATCAACCGAGTAGTTGTTAATCTGTTTTTGCCGAGCCTTTGACATTTATGTCTCCAAAATGACTGTCAACAATGAGACGGCCTCATTGCACACTCTGAATAGCGGAAATACCAACTTGAATATAAACACAAAGCTGGTTTATTAAGCAGCAGTTGTAACAAGTATATAACAATGTCAGTCAAAGAATAGGAATTACAGAATAGACATCAGGTGAGTTATCACTGCTGGGGTCAAGAGTTCTATAATTCTAAGATTGATATTGAGTTGCATTTTGGGCTAGGGGTCAGCAGTCGTATTAATTTGTAGATGCATTAATTCCCAGATTTACAGTAAATCATCTAGAGGCAGTATCAACGCCTATATATATATAGGCAGTCAGGGCATTTCATTTTGTTATGAGGAATATGAAGATCTTTATTATTATTTTTTCAAGATTTGCTGATTTTCATTCACTGACAATGTCCGAACGTTACTTACCATTCTTGGTTTTATTCAGTGCATTCTGCAGAAGTTCTTCTACGGCTGCCCGATAGCTGTCACTGACGTTGCCCCTCAAGACAATGACGTTGACAGTGTTGGTCGTGCCTGTCGGTGTTGTTGGATTAGCGGTTTGTCCTGTTCCTGACGAAGGTGTGGTTCTACCCTGTACCCGGACTACGTCTCCTTCAACCAAAATAATCCCAAAGGATCTGAAATATTGGGCGAGCGTCCCAGGGTCCACTCCTTCAAACTGTGTCAAGTGTGAATCTGCTCCTTGGATGGCCACTGTGTAGGTTACCTGGGTAACCGGTGCGTTGCTGGAAAAGAATAGTTTCCCTTAACAAATCTATTTCTTAACTACGAAAATAGTGAATAAGTTTGGAATGGATGTAAAATATCATGGGCAACATCAGGAATATACAATTTCACCAATGTGATTTCTACCGGATCCGGGAAGAATAGGTCTTCAGCAACCCATGCTTGCCTTGAAAGATGACTATGCTTATCATAAGAGGCGCCTAACGGGATTGGGTGGTCAGGCTCGCTGACTCGCTTGATGCATGTCATTGTATCCCATTTGAGTGGATCGTTGCTCATGACATCAATCACTGGATTGCCTGGTCCAGACTCAATTATTTACAGACCGCCGTCATATAGCTGGAATATTCCTGAGTGCGGCATTAAACAACAAACAAACAACAAAACAAACTATCGTTATGTCAATTTGTGGACCACTGAATGGCCTCGGCATATTGAATTTACACTAATATTGATAATCCGAACAAACCAATAATGCCAAACACCATGCTTTAATTTACCTATATGTGATAAAGTACACAAATAGTATTACCAATTGGCTGTTTTGTATCATACCTTGTTGAACTAACATAATTCTCATCAATGGTCTTGATATCAATAGACACGGAATCAGATGGGACGTTGAAGGTTGTAACTGCGACAGATAAATATACATTATTACATAGAATGATTGCAGGACACTGAAACAACAAATTCAAAACAAAACATTTTATCATGATATTAATAATGGATCTCAACATTTAGTAACTGTGTGGTAATTATTACATTAAGTGGCTACCGCTACTCTTATTAGGCTACTTTGAAGATGGGCTGGTTTCATCTACAGTGAATACATCGAAGGTACTTACCCCAAAGGTTTTTGAGGATTTGAATGATGGCGTTTCTGTTATTATTTCCTGTACGCCCAGCAATATTGATGGTAAACAACTTCTCTGTTGGCAGTGAAGGCTGTTCAAGATTCTGATTGGTTAATATTTGATTTAACCTTTGCTGATTGATAGCAGTTGATGTTACATCCGGGTTAGATACGGGAGGTCTGTAGTAAACTCGTGTCACTGGCTCGCTGTAAAGTGCAACATATTTGTTTCAAACATGATCTTGACTTATTACTTCAGGATATATCACTGGATGCATTTAACATTGGAATGGGAAACATTAAATGATATTATAGCATATGGTTATTATTTGTATGTGATAAGTACACTGACTATTTTGAATAGAGAAGGTTATGTTTGGTTAAAGGATATGCTACTACTTACTTTTTAGAATTGAAAAACATCTCGCTGCTGACTGCTGATCCATCTGAAACATGACACATGACATGTGTCATATGTTGGCTGATAAATCATCATTCATAATAATCTTTGGAGTAAGTTGATACATATATGTGTACACACACAGTAACATCTTCAACCAAAAGATCCATTAAGATCCAGGGTAGCATAGGTTTTCAACAACTCATGCTTGCCATAAAAGGCGACTGTGCTTGTCAAATGAGCGACTAATGGGATTGGGTGGTCAGACTCGATGACTTGGTTGATGCATGTCATCGTATCCCAATTACGTTGATCGAAGCTCATGATGTCAATCATTGGATTGTCTGGGCCAGACTCGATTATTTACAGGCTGCCATCATATAGCTGGAATATTGCTTAGTGCAGCATTAAACAACAAACAAACAAATCATTCATAAAATATCAAACGAAGTATCTAAGCAATGGTGCTATCATTTACAACTGTGGTGTACAATATCTCAATATCCACTTCATGCATGTTTCATGGAAGAGAATTCAATGCTTACCTGATGGATTAAGATTGAAACCAAGGGTCTGAAGCTGTGCAGAAGAGAGGCGACCTTTGACCTCCACAAACGGAACCGGAATTGCTTCACAGTCACAGAACAATGGCCCCGTAAAGGTGACACTGTCTGTCTGTTGTTGAGGTCCAATGACATTGGTGCCATTCAATATGACGAAATACTCCAGTTTGGTCAGTTGTCTTCTACAAGTAAATTAATTAATAATTAGAAATATGCAAATAAAAGAGATTTATGACATGAAGATATCTTAATTGCATAAAAACTATTTGTAATATAGGTGAAGTTTTCTTTTGAAACACTAAAATTCATTATATACCGGTACATATATTTTATAGCTACTAAAACTGTACACCAGAAAACTGTGAAGGTTATATTCTGAAAAAATATAATCTATTTGAATTGTTTGATAGGCATTACGTAGAAGTTAACAGATGACAAAGTAGACACAATTTATGCATAACAACTTCTTTATTTACTGTAATGGCGATGTTTGGTATTTATACTTATACCGTCGTCAACCAAGGCTGAATGATGCACATGGAACAGAATACAAGATTGTCCATCAGGTTGTTACGGTATTATCCTTCTGTTGTTATTATCACATAACCTACTCATGTTAATCTCCGTCATGTATGCATTTGTTGTTACTGTTAATCCTCTACTGCTAATCCTCCACCTACCATATATATTCTGTACCATGTTCATCATTCAGCCTTGCTTGACAACGGTATAAGTTTCTATACCAAAATGTCGACTTTACAGTAATTAAAGAAGTTGCTATCAATAAATTGTGTCTACTTTGTCAAGTATAATACATTTTTCCAGTTCCACACAGAACATACCCATCCTGAGTGTAGTAAATAAGTGGTCTTAGAAGCTTGATTTCGACTTGAGCCAATTTCAGATTTTCGGGAACTGAAACAACAAAATCATAATTGAAAGAGAACCTATGTTTTTAACTGATCGGATATCCCTGTATACAAGTCAGGAACACAATGTTGTCACATGACGGAAGAATATTAATATGTTAGTGACCTGGTTTAAATAAAATAAATTAAATAAAAATAAAATACCACATAAAAACATCCTTACTTATTCTTCATTGGGTTGTCTAAATTACACTGAGGCTTAAAAAATATAAGAATTGGTTCTCAGGCAATGGTTTTTGAAAATATAGTGCCGATGGGCAGAGTCTTTTTATTTATTATTATTATCATTTTTATTATTATTATTATTATTATTATTATTATTATTATTATTATAATATTTATTTTTTGGGGATGGGGTGGGGTGTTCTTGCTAGTATGTAAACAAATAAACAGTTGTGTAACCAAATAAACAATGTGTACAATCAACCTGGGAAAGGGCCTCCCTACATAAATGTTTTCCGTGATGAGTAAAATACTGGAATAGAGAATTTGACTACAGTGTACCATTGGACATGAAATAATAAAGGATTTTGGGGGTGTTTTTTTCTTAATGATGATGCAAGCGGTGCCTGAGAACCAAGACTATTATCTTTGTTAGCCTTACACGTCATACAAATGAGTCTCACACAGCAGTTTTAAGTACACGCTCATAAGCCATCACCATGCCCACCTGCGGGAGAAGTGTTTCTCCATGTGATCCAGGTCGATCTTATCTGATCCAGGACTTGTTGCCCTTCGTCACTGCTCATGTCCACCACCTTGCTCAGGAACACATTGTGGTGCTGGCTGTAAGGGATGAGTGTGGCACCGGAGTAGATGGAGTTGACACTGGCGTCTCCCTGCACTGTGTTGTAGAAGACCTGACGTGTTGGGGGCATTACTGTTTTAGGGTCCTGGACGAGTCCGTCCTTTGTGATTGTGTAGTATACCCTGGTTACCTTGATGCTGTGTTATGAAGAAATAGTATTATCCACCTGATTATAAACGACGCGCACATTTCATATTGACTTCAAACACATTGTGGCTTTGTTCATGAAATCTAGGTACAATTGTTAACGTAGTACACGAATCATGTCAGAATTGATACATAATAACATACCCGAAATCTCCTGCGAATTCATCCGTCCGTACAACATTGGCATTAAACTCACATCTGCAGTCTACAAACAAAACATAATTGTTAGCATTAACTACAGGCAAAGGATTTGTTGCTAAATATATAAATAGCATCAACAAAATGTATCCCTTGCATTAGTCGATGGTTCATGTAATAGAAACAAACTATACGTTACAATAGTATGCTGCCTACCTGGATAAGCGTTCATCCATGCCTTTATTATATCAGTTAACACAGCTTGTTTTCGTGTTTCTGGTACATCCCCAACGAAATCAACACTATACGTGTTCGTTGGGCCCTGCACGGGGCCTTGGTATATCACAATTCCTTGTCCTCGGAGGACTTCAGATGTCTGTAAACCATTGCTCACTTCATATGTGAAATTTGCAATTTCTTCGGGAGTCAGCATGACTGGCGCACTGCTGTTGGTGGCGTTAAAACGATAACTAGTGAGGACATCACTGCAAGAGAACAACAAGGTCTTGATAAAGATTTTCTTCAGGATAATGTGCTTGAACGACTGATTGCTTGTCAGAGCTACAGAAAGGCTGCATATTTGCGTAAAATACCCCCAGAACTATTCAAAACCCAATTACTTTCAATTAACTTGCGTACAGAAACTCATGCATTAAATGAAAAACTCAAATGTATAAAACAGCTTGTGTAAATACCAAATGAAGCTTGTTCAGCATGCGTACAAAGGAGCTAATTTCCAAAATACAATTACGAGCTAATTCACTTTCCGAGTCAAGCCTATATATTAAGAACAGTTATATACATCTAAAACATTTTATTTCATTTTTTTTAAATCTTAAAATTTTGGGAAAAACCAAATAGAGTGATGAATAGATGAGTGAAAAATTTTTGGTTACCAAATGAAAAATGTAATAACCCAATTAAAATAGAAACCCAAGAGCAAAAACTCAATCGCTCAAAAAGATGTCTAGGGATCTGGCTTGTTACATGTATCTGAAATGCATATTTGACATTTTTCCTACTCACCCATTTGGATCAAAGATTGTTGATTGTTCAATGACATACAGCTGTATACAACAGGAGGGACCTGCAATACAAGAAGTACATAAGTTTGTATCTGATTTACATATATATAGAGGATTCATCACGACTGTTTTTTAATATGGGAAATATCAACGGAGTAGTTGTTAATCTGTTTTTGCCGAGCCTTTGGCATTTATGTCTCCAAAATGACTGTCAACAATAAGACGGCCTAACTGCCCACTCTGAATAGCGGAAATACCAACTTGAATATATAAACACAAAGCTGGTTTATTGAGCAGCAGTTGTAACAAGTATATAACAATGTCAGTCAAAGAATAGGATTACAGAATAGACATCAGGTGAGTTATCACTGCTGGGGTCAAGAGTTCTATAATTCTAAGATTGACATTGAGTTGCATTTTGGGCTAGGGGTCAGCAGTCGTATTAATTTGTAGATGCATTAATTCCCAGATTTACAGTAAATCATCTAGAGGCAGTATCAACGCCTATATATATATAGGCAGTCAGGGCATTTCGTTTTGTTGGAATGAGGAATATGAAGATCTTTTTTATTATTTTTTTTAAGATTTGCTGATGTTCAGTCACTGACAATGTCCGACTGTTACTTACCATTCTTGGTTTTATTCAGTGCATTCTGCAGAAGTTCCTCTACGGCTGCCCGATAGCTGTCACTGACGTTGCCCCTCAAGACAATGACGTTGACAGTGTTGGTCGTGCCTGTCGGTGTTGTTGGATTAGCGGTTTGTCCTGTTCCTGACGAAGGTGTGGTTCTACCCTGTACCCGGACTACATCTCCTTCAACCAAAATAATCCCAATAGATCTCAAATATTGGCCGAGCGTCCCAGGGTCCACTCCTTCAAACTGTGTCAAGTGTGAATCCACTCCTTGGATGGCCACTGTGTAGGTTACCTGGGTAACCGGTGCGTTGCTGGAAAAGAATAGTTTCCCTTAACAAATCTATTTCTTAACTACGAAAATAGTGAATAAGTTTGGAATGGATGTAAAATATCATAGGCAACATCAGGAATATATAATTTCACCAATGTGATTTCTACCGGATCCGGGAAGATCCGGTCTTCAGCAACCCATGCTTGCCTTGAAAGATGACTATGCTTGTCGTAAGAGGCGACTAACGGGATTTGGTGGTCAGGCTCGCTGACTTGGTTGATGCATGTCATTGTATCCCATTTGCGTGGATCGATGCTCATGACATCAATCACTGGATTGTCTGGCCCAGACTCAATTATTTACATATATTTACTTATATTTACAACAAACAAACAACAAAACAAACTATCGTTATGACAGTTTGTGGACAACTGAATGGCCTCGGCATATTGAATTTACACTAATATCGATAATCCGAACAAACCAATAATGCCAAACACCATGCTTTAGTGTACTTATATATGTTAATGTACACAAATACTATTACCAATTGGCTGTTTTGTATCATACCTTGTTGAACTAACATAATTCTCATCAATGGTCTTGATATCAATAGACACGGAATCAGATGGGACGTTGAAGGTTGTAACTGCGACAGATAAATATACATTATTACATAGAATGATTGCAGGACACTGAAACAACAATTTCAAAACAAAACATTTTATCATAATGTTAATACTGGATCTCAACATTTAGTAACAGTACGGTAATTATTACATTTAGTACATTAATTGGCTACTGCTACTCTAATTACCGTATTCGACGTAATAAGCGCCCAGGGCTCTCTCAAAATTAGAAATAGGGGGCTCTTATTAGAATATTATTTTGGTGCAAAAACAGAGTTGAAAGATAAATTTCGTGATTTATGCTGACAGCCTGAAATGTTTATGTATGACAGATATATGTTTCAAAAATTTATTGCCAATAATATAGGGAGCATATAACACATGAGTGTGTATTATACACGAATAGGGGAAGGAAGCGGTGCGTATTATATGCGAACAGGGGTCGGAAGGGGTGCTCATTGGGATTGTTCACTAGCCAATATATCAGCAAATCTCGCTGTGGGCGCTTATTAGAGCGGGGCGCTTAATACATCGAATACAGTAGGCTACTTTGAAGATGGACTGGCTTCATCTACAGTGAATACATCGAAGGTACTTACCCCAAAGGTTTTTGAGGATCTGAATGATGGCGTTTCTGTTATTATTTCCTGTACGCCCAGCAATATTGATGGTAAACAACTTCTCTGTTGGCAGTGAAGGCTGTTCAAGATTCTGATTGGTTAATATTTGATTTAACCTTTGCTGATTGATAACAGTTGATGTTACATCCGGGTTAGATACGGGAGGTCTGTAGTAAACTCGTGTCACTGGCTCGCTGTAAAGTGCAACATATTTGTTTCAAACATGATCTTGACTTATTACTTCAGGATATATCACTGGATGCATTTAACATTGGAATGGGAAACATTAAATGATATTATAGCATATGGTTATTATTTGTATGTGATAAGTACACTGACTATTTTGAATAGAGAAGGTTATGTTTGGTTAAAGGATATGCTACTACTTACTTTTTAGAATTGAAAAACATCTCGCTGCTGACTGCTGATCCATCTGAAACATGACACATGACATGTGTCATATGTTGGCTGATAAATCATCATTCATAATAATCTTTGGAGTAAGTTGATACATATATGTGTACACACACAGTAACATCTTCAACCAAAAGATCCATTAAGATCCAGGGTAGCATAGGTCTTCAGCAACTCATGCTTGCCATAAAAGGTGACTGTGCTTGTCAAAAGAGGCGACTAATGGGATTTGAGTGGTCAGACTCGATGACTTGGTTGATGCATGTCATCGTATCCCAATTATGTAGATCGAAGCTCATGATGTCAGTCATTGGATTGTCTGGGCCAGACTCGATTATTTATTGACCGACGTCATATAGCTGGAATATTGCTTAATGCGGCCTTATTCAACAAACAAACAAATCATTCATGAAATATCAAACGAAGTATCTAAGCAATGGTGCTGTGACTTACAACTGTGGTTTACAATATCTAAATATCCACGTCATGCATGTTTCATGGAAGAGAATTCAATGCTTACCTGATGGATTAAGATTGAAACCAAGGGTCTGAAGCTGTGCAGAAGAGAGGCGACCTTTGACCTCCACAAACGGAACCGGAATTGCTTCACAGTCACAGAACAATGGCCCCGTAAAGGTGACACTGTCTGTCTGTTGTTGAGGTCCAATGACATTGGTGCCATTCAATATGACGAAATACTCCAGTTTGGTCAGTTGTCTTCTACAAGTAAATTAATTAATAATTAGAAATGTGCAAATAAAAGAGATTTATGACATGAAGATATTTTAATTGCATAAAAACTATTTGTAATATAGGTGAAGTTTTCTTTTGAAACACTAAAATTCATTATATACTGGTACATATATTTTATGGCTACTAAAACTGTACACCAGAAAACTGTGAAGGTTATATTCTAAAAAATTATAATCAATTTGAATTGTTTGATGGGCATTACTTAGAAGTTGACGGATGACAAAGTAGACACAATTTATGCATAACAACTTCTTTATTTACTGTAATGGCGATGTTTGGTATTTATACTTATACCGTTGTCAACCAAGGCTGAATGATGAACATGGAACAGAATATAAGATCATCCATCATGTTGTTACGGTATTATCCTTCTGTTGTTATTATTACATAACCTACTCATGTTACCGTATTCAACGTAATAAGCGCCCAGGGCGCTCGCAAAATAAGAAATAGGGGGCTCTTATTAGAATATAATTTTAGTGAGAAAAAAACAGAATTGAAAGATCGTAAATTTCGTGGTTTATCCTGACAGCCCGAAATGATACAAAAGAAAAGTATGTGCGTATTATACACGACAGATATATTTTTCAGAATTTAATTGCACATAATTAAGGGTGCATATAAATAAATAGGTCTTGTGTACATTGATCAATCGGAAGGGGTGCTAACTGGGATTGTTCACTAGCCAATAAAAGCAAATATCACCGTGGGCGCTTATTAGAGCGGGGCGCTTATTACGTCGAATACGGTAATCTCCCTCATGTATGCATTTGTTGTTACTGTTAATCCTCTACTGTTAGTCCTCCACCTACCATATATATTCTGTACCATGTTCATCATTCAGCCTTGCTTGACAACGGTATAAGTTTCTATACCAAAATGTCGACTTTACAGTAATTAAAGAAGTTACTATCAATAAATTGTGTCTACTTTGTCAAGTATAATACATTTTTCCAGTTCCACACAGAACATACCCATCCTGAGTGTAGTAAATAAGTGGTCTTAGAAGCTTGATTTCGACTGGAGCCAATTTCAGATTTTCGGGAACTGAAACAACAAAATCATAATTGAAAGAGAACCTATGTTTTTAACTGATCGGATATCCCTGTATTCAAGTCAGGAATGCCACATGACGGAAGAATATTAATATGTTAGTGACCTGGTTTAAATAAAATAAATTAAATAAAAATAAAATACCACAAAAAAACATCCTTACTTATTCTTCATTGGGTTGTCTAAATTACACTTAGGCTTAAAAAATATAAGAATTGGTTCTCAGGCAATGGTTTTTGAAAATATAGTGCCGATGGGCAGAGTCTTTTTATTTATTGTTATTATTATTATTTTTATTTATTTTTTGGGGATGGGGTGGGGTGTTCTTGCTAGTATGTAAACAAATAAACAGTTGTGTAACCAAATAAACAATGTGTACAATCAACCTGGGAAAGGGCCTCCCTACTTAAATGTTTTCCGTGATGAGTAAAATACTGGAATAGAGAATTTGACTACAGTGTACCATTGGACATGAAATAATAAAGGATTTTGGGGGTGTTTTTTTCTTAATGATGATGCAAGCGGTGCCTGAGAACCAAGACTATTATCTTTTTTAGCCTTACACGTCATACAAATGAGTCTCACACAGCAGTTTTAAGTACACGCTCATAAGCCATCACCATGCCCACCTGCGGGAGAAGTGTTTCTCCATGTGATCCAGGTTGATCTGATCTGATCCAGGACTTGTTGCCCCTCGTCACTGCTCATGTCCACCACCTTGCTCAGGAACACATTGTGGTGCTGGCTGTAAGGGATGAGTGTGGCACCGGAGTAGATGGAGTTGACACTGGCGTCTCCCTGCACTGTGTTGTAGAAGACCTGACGTGTTGGAGGCATTACTGTTTTAGGGTCCTGGACGAGTCCGTCCTTGGTCATCCTGTAGTTTATCCTGGTCACTTTGATACTGAAACATATTTATCATGTAATTAGATATTATCATTTTTATCATAAACACTTATTTAGGGTGAACATGCAGACTAAGAAAGCCAAACAATAGATTAGAATCATTACAGAATCGGAACAATTCTGTAATCCCTTAATTCAAATGTTTTTCCAGATGAATATGCATTCTTATTTTTTAATAATGTAAAAAGGTAGACAACTCCACACCGACAGCTCTGTTTTACGAATAAATCTTGTACATGTAGAATTGCTGGCAGCTGGTATCAGGGTTTACTTATCACTTACCCAAAATCTCCTAAGAATTCATCCATTTTAACAATATTTGCACGAAACACACATCCGCATTCTACAAATGAAGAGAAACATCGGGTACATTACATAATAAAATCGTGTAAGAAGACGTTTTACTAGAATAATATTAATATCCACATAAAACTTCATCAAATATCTTCATAAACACTATGATAAAATAATGTTTGTTTTAAAAATCAGTTACTAATAGAACTGACAAACCAAGACTGGAAGGCTGTGTACATTGATAAAGAAACGTACGTTCGATATCATCACACCATTAAATTTATCAAATTCCAAATAGTCATAACCAAATAGTAAGACAATCACATTGAACAAGACAGTGGTTAAGATTTACCAGGAAAGGTGTTCCTCCATGCCTTTTCAATGTCAGTTAACACAGCTTGTTTTCGTGTTTCTGGAACATCCCCAACGAAATCAACACTGTACGTGTCCGTTGGGCCCTGGACGGAGCCTTGGTATATCACAATTCCTTGTCCTCGAAGGACGTCAGATGTCTGCAATCCATTCCTAACTTCATTTGTGAAATTTGAAGTTTCGTCTGGTGTCAAAACAATTGCGGCAGTTCCATTGGAGGCGTTGAACCGATAGCCAGTGATCACATCCCTGGTGGTGGAAAGCCAATCAATAATCAATTTTGAATATTCAGAAAAAGGGAACAGTTTGTGTCATAATTCTATGATGCAAGGACAGTTGGCTGTAATGATTGCACTGTAGAGTATGCTTTTATAGAGGGGACTGAGACATACAAAAAGGCAAGAAGACCTTAGGTTATACATTGCCTATGGTAGATATGTGGAGGACATTCCCAAATTTAACACATCAGTGATATAAATGATGTCCAATGCAATTTTTTCTTGTTCCATATGTTCCGGTGTTTTTTTTCAGGTGAACAATTGACTTGACTTTGCATGTGTTTGTGATGGGTGCCACCGGTGGGGAAGGATACGCTCACTTTTACACGACCACCAGGTATCATCACCATTTGATAGTGATTCATAAACACATGTTCATGATATAGTTGGAATCGTACGATCGACTCTTCATTGTGAAGAGATTTCTATTGGACATGGAAAGGGTTTTGTCACTTTTTAAACTAAATACATCGCAATGGAATGTCCTTTTCACCAGCAGTACATCTTGCTACAGCATACTATCAAGACAAACATACTGAAACAACATTTCATTGCACAGTGCACGTTTTGTTGCACGGTGCCGACAACCAATCCATTAATGAAATGGATGCTCGATATCTACATTGAACTATAACTACTCACCCATATGCATCCAGGTATGTTGTTTTCTCAATAATGTGAAGCTCTATGCAACATGACGGACCTGCAATACAAGAAGTAGGTAACCATTAACTGACACAACATAAGTTACCTAATGAAAAGGGATAGTTCAAAAAAGGATATTCTTTTCAAAAATATCACCTTTCATTTAGATTGATCACTGGGATGCTATTATTTGTTTCATTCTTGAATCGAATTACAAACCATTTGGGTATTTATTTTTGAAAAATGTTTTTTTAAGATCCTTTCAGCTGAAGATGTGTGTGTAAAATATCTTTGGTAAATGTGTTTTTTCTTGTCCTTCCAACTGATGATATGCATGGAAAACATCTTTGGTAAAAGTGTTTTATTATCCTTGGTTTATTGTCACCATACCCTCGCCAATGGGTTTCGCCTATACTAAACGCCATGACCAGCATCATGACCTCCAAACTACGCTGGAATGCTGTGATGTTACTGAAATACAGTCCTGAGTTCATAGCTGCGTTAAACCCACATGTAACCCTCTCACTCCTTCTTTCATTTCTTCGTGGAGATACCCAGTGAACATCCAAGTTAGAATTGGTCTTCAGCAACTTGTAAAAGGTGACTAACAGATCGGTTGATAAGGCTCGGTGACTTGATGCATGTCATCGTACACCAATTACGTAGATCGATGCTCATCAGTGGATTGTCTGGTCCAGACTATTATTTACAGGCTGACGTCCTAGTACTGGTATAATATTGTTTGGTACGGTGTTAAACAACATCCAAACAATGTTCTTAGTTGAGATTGCTTACCGTTCTTTGTTTTATTAAGCGCATTCTGCAGAATGCCCTCCACTGCTGCCTGGTTGCTGTCGCTGATGTTGCCTCTCAAGTAGATTACGCTGACGAAGTTGGTCGTGCCCGTCGCTGTTGTTGGAGTAGCGGTTTCTCCTGTGAACGGCGTCGTACCTTGCGGTGTAGTTGTAACTTGTGTGTTTTTTATTTCTCCTTGGAACACAGTGAACCCTGTGGGGGTGAAATACCGACCAAGTGTTCCCGAGTCCACCCCATCAAACCGTGTCCAACCGGAATCGGCGTCTTCAACTGTCACGGTGTACTTCACCTGTGTCACCGGCGTGTTGCTAGAAAAAAAGTGTTAGATTTCTATATCTATACGGTTTCTGGAATTAATAAATCCTTTAACAATATGCATCCTATTGTTACATTCTGCTTTCAATCACACCTTGTTTGTTTATAAACCTTCATACTGTAAATCTTGAAATTAATGAGTCTCCAAATAAATACGACTGCTGGCCCCTAGCCAAAAATGTGACTCAAAATCAATGTGACTCCCCCTCCCTGCCCCATCCCCAGTGGAATGATACATTCACCTATCTTTGAATCCAATCAAACACAAAAAGCACCGCTTATTAGCACTGAGTAAAGCACTTCCGTAATAACAATAAACAATATAAACACAGTTTATATGTTTATTCTGTTGACAGGCGTTAAGTCAGTTCAAAGGCAACAAAATAATTGAACCAATAACAGATCACTGATTGGAGTGGTCAATGATGTCTAGTTCGACACACGTGGGTAAAACTACCCCAGCAGTGATAACTCACCGGATGCCAATTGTGTAATTCCTAGTCTTTAAATTACATTGTTATATACTTGTTACAACTGCTGCTCAATAAGCCGTGTTTGTGTACATATTCAAGTTGGTATTTCCGCTATCCAAAGTGTGCAGTTAGGCCGTCTTATTGTAGATAGTCATTTTTAAATGCTAAGTTAATAAATGTGAGCAAAGACCACTCGCATTTTTTGCATTTAATTCACTCTCGTATTAACTTCAAGATTTACGGTATATTCTGTGAACGAAATTAAACATGTAGTTCTTATAGATACAGTAGAACATGATTATAACGAACATGAACATAACAAACAAACGGTTATAACGAACTACTTGAAATGTTCTTCTTTGACAGGCATTTAGAAGTTGGAGTACTATGTAAGGATAAGATATATGGATGAACGATTGTAATAATTGTAATAAAGTAGTTGCTCACCATATATCTTATCTTTACTTACTTAAAACATACCAACTGAAATTGACACTTACCCTGGCGTGCTGACAAAACTGTCATCCAAGTTGATTACTTTTACCGAAATAGCGCCGGCTGGTAGGTTATACGTGCTACCTGAAAACCACAATGATGGTGATGCTTGTTATGCAATAACTATAGACATTTACTGTTGAAAGTGTAAAATGGCAAATACTTATATAATGCGAGTTTGTAAATGTAACACATGCAACCATCTGATTATGTACAGAATAACGCTAGGTTTGTAAAAGAAAAATGAAATTCAGATCCATTTCTTTCCCTATTCAGGAAGCAGGTTGGCCTTTTTACTGAAATAATGACATTTGTGGTATCTCATAACGTAAAACTTCGATATAGCCGAGAATATTGAATCAATTGCCTCATGTTATTTGGAGCATTTATATTTTATTGTGGTTCTTCTGATCCATGTTTCGATCAAAGCCGTTGATCGGGATGACCTTGATGCTGTATAGTTACTGACAACTGTGTGCCTTCAGCAGAGATTATTATGAAAATGGAAAAGGTTTCTTCGCTTTAATTAGTAGTTGTAGTAGGAGTAGTAGTTGTTGTTGTAGTAGTAGTAGTAGCAGTAGTAGTAGTAGTAATAGTAGTAGTAGTAGTAGTAGTAGTAGAAGTATTCTAAAACAGCTACTTACTCCAAGCACTCCTGATTGTCGTCTCAATGTTATCTCTATCATCGTCCGTAAGTCTCCCGCCAATGTAAAGTATGAAGGACTTGTCTATCGGGTCTGAAGGTTCCTGGAGGTTCAGATTGGTCAGTATTTGGTTCAGTCTCTGCTGACTGACATCTGTGGACTGAACGCCGGGGCCTGTTATAGGAGGCCGGTAGTACACTCTTGTCACTGGTCCGCTATGAAAATGAAGTTTTACCATGATTAGTCAATTAAAATATATCTTATGCCATCATTACAGAAAATCACTGAAGAAGTATTGTTGGTTAAAATGATATATCTAATTATATCTGAACTAAACTAAATAAAATGATGCTAATAATGCTTAACTGTTCTAAAATACCGTATTTTCATAATGGAAATAATATGCGTTGCTATGAAACGAAGTGATACACAATGTGTCAATAGAAATAACGTTACTTTTACATTCTTTAATTTTCAATTCTGTTAATGTTAAGCAAATACATAAAGATACACACCCATTGGTATCAACGAAATTTTCTCTTTCAATTGTGACTCCACTTGTATCTGTCAAATAAACCAATGAATAAGGTTGACAAGACAAAAATGGATAGTAAAAACCAGATACTACAGGTTGTGCAAGGCAAATATTGGTATCCCTTTCTTGGTGATGTCATGTTGCTGAGCATACGTTTCCCGAAACTGTCCTTGAGCTAAATTAGGTCTAGCCTTGTGGTTAAAATATTTGCTCGTTCGACTCCCCACATCAGGACATGTGAAGTCCATTTCTGTTTACCCCCACCGTGGTATTGCTGGAATATTGCTACACGCAGCATCAAACTACTCAAACACTCGCTACAGCTAAAATAATCATAAACGCTTCAACATTATTATGGAAATTTAGCTAAAATGTGGGACAAACAGACATAAATAAGGTATTTTTGTATATCCCTCATAATGGATTGGACCCGTGAAGACCTGGGTAGAACAGGTCTTCAGCAACCCATGCTTGCCGTAAAAGATGACTATGCTTGTCGTACAAGGCGACTAACGGGATCGGGTGGTCAGGCTCGCTGACTTGGTTGATGCATGTCATCGTATCCCAATTGCGTGGATCGATGCTCATGACATAAATCACTGGATTGTCTTGTCCAGACTTGATTATTTACAGACCGCCGTCATATAACTGGAATATTACTGAGAGCGGCGTTAAACAACAAACATCCAACAACAATAATGGATTGATTTTCTGTTCTCTCTTTAACAATGAAGAGAGACATTCAAAGCACAGCAATGTCTAAAGATTCAACTGACCAAGAGGATTTAAACTGAGTCCAAGTATCTGCATTTGAAGGGGCGTGAGTTCCCCGTCGACGTCTACAAACGGAACTGGGACAGCTTCGCAGTCACAGAACAGAGGATCAGTCAATGTGATGTTAGCTCTCTTTGGTCCAATAACCACAGTGTTGTTGAGAAGTACAAAATATTCGATCTTGGTGAGCTGACGTCTGAAAGGAGTACCATGTATCGTGATGCATTTAAAGAAGTATTGACGTTGAATTGGTATAGCTTAACCTTTAGTTACAATTATCAATATATTCGTCACTGGGAGAATTGACTAATCAACTAAAATATTATATACTGGTTTCATAAGTGATCTGTACACTGTATAATATAATTACTGATATTATCATTACACAGCTTATGTTATTTTGTATGACTATATACCCTCAACGTTTGAGAAGGATATATCTATTATTCCATGATAAACAACACTTATCACTTACTCAAGTATAAGTAATTAGTATGAACTATCTCAATATCCCTGTTCATCTATTAAAATGTGTAACATAACAAGTTATGAACTGGTAAATTCTCGAGTTCTATTTGCCACCAGCAACAACTTACCCGTCTTGTGTGTAGTACTTGAGTGGTTTAAGCATTAGGATATCGAGTTCAGCGTTGCGAAGAGATGCAGGAACTAAAACAAAGACCAACTCCTTGAACATATACTGACAGATTAACACACTTTAAAAGCAGTCTAAAAGCTTGATACAAAATTACAGCAGGAGATGCTGTAATTTGTTTGTGGTTAGTCGATTTCAGCTTTGTTTAACATCAGACCTTCCTGACATGCACACCGTCGACTGTGCAATGCATAGAAGAACTCTCACTAACAGCAGTATCGACAGAAGAGGAGGATGTATATCGTCAGAAGTGTTGTCATGACGTTGGAAAGACATACTATTAGGATAATATAGTTCCAGATAATGAAGTTTTTACTTGTGACACTTAAAATCTTTTACATTTATTCATCAGTGTAGGTTAATGTCACATGTTTCAATATTACCTCCCTTATTGACATACATACGAAAAAGCGAACATCCTTGGCATTTCACTTGACGTTACATATTACCAAACCTCCCTTACTGACATACATACGAATATGAACATCCTTGGCACTTCACTTGACGTTACATATTACCTAACAGGGTACTATAATTCAATGTAAACTGCACCTGAAGGATCTGCATTTCTCCAGTCAATCCATGCTGTCTGAATGGCATTTCTGATGTAGGTTCCTTCAGGGCTGTCCATGTCAACGACCTTGTTCAGCAGGAGCCCGTGACGCTGGTTGTAGGGGATGAGCTGGGACCCAGGATATACTTGGTTCACGGCGGCGTCCTGCTGTACAGCGTTGACGACGTCCTGTCGTGATGGAGCTGGTACGGTGCTGGGGTCTTCGGGCTGGCCATCTCTTGTCACTGTATAGTAAACACGGCTCACGGTGATGCTGAAAGAATGTAAAAAACATTGTCCAAACTGACAAATCCAAAGAATTCCTATGCTAATCAAAAGATTAGAGAAAAGTAAAACAGTATGAAGTTCATGCAAATTGTCAAAACTTCCCAGACACAGAGTATTGAAAATATCATATCTCATGGATAATGTTTTTATTTTAATGTGTAAGTTTAGTTAGTTGTTCTACGCCACAGTCAGCACTGTTCCAGCTTCATCATGCTGAGTTTCAAGCCTTTGCTAACCAGCAGCTGATCCACACTGTCGAAGCATGACACAAACACTACCAGAATTTTTTTCAGACATTGTTATGACCCAATTCTTATTTTTGTCAGAGAAGCGCGGGGGAAATGGGGACACTTGGTTGATATTATGAGCAACGCCCCAGACAGTCGGGTACATTGACACACAATCAACAAAATCACTTAACCTGACCACCCATGGCTATTTAGTCGCCACTTCCGACAAACAATAGAGTGATTGACCTATTTTAACCTGAGTCCTAACGTCATTGGTCCTCGAGGTTACACATATGCCACTGGTGAAACCCGGGGGCACGGGTGGCCCAGTCGTCTAAGGCGCCGCGAATCGCTGTGCAGAGTTGCGTCCCTTTGGACACGCCAGAAACCTATGATTGTGGGTTGGAAACCCGATTTGCCCCGATTATGTTTCTAGGTTTGTCAGCACCATACCCGTGCTCGTGGGTTTCACTGAAGTGGTAAACGTCTGAGACCTGCATCACTTCGGGTTTCCTCCCACATTAAGCTGACATGCCGCGATATAACTGTAATACTGTTAAAAACGGCGTTAAACCAAACTCACTCACTGGTGAAACCCTTCTCATAAGACCGGGTACCACTAGCTAAGGGGATACAACTATGTATATGCATTCAAAATAAAAGACATGTTTCTCAACATACCCATAATCGCCGGATAATTCTTCAATTTGAACCACGTTTGCCTTGAACACACACCTACAATCTGAAATAACAGAAAAAGGTGTTGGTCACAAAATGATTAAACTTGATGTAAATGAGTTGAAATATGAAAAGTATCTGCTGAGTTCTGGAAATATAATATCATGCTGAAATAACCAGAATGACAGAGGTGACTTAAACAGATAGATTCTAAAATAACAAATGGAATATCTGATGCACCTATATCATCTTCCTGAGGCAAGGGAGTTAATTGACAATTAAAATCCAGTTTCATAAAAATCTACCGTAGCGGCGCCAGAGGCTATTACGAGTTATGTCCCTTCTATGTTCCTCCTATTGAGCAAACAGATTCTCCCTCTCGTATCATTGCATTTGCTTCAAACAAAATGGTGGCAACCAGTCAAGACAATCTGATCGATAATCAAATCAGTATTGTGATAAAACGGGTCTTACTTCGTGAAGTGCATCATGTTAGCACCTTGATTTAAAACATGAAAAGATTTGGAAAATATCTGTTGATGCAGAGTTGGCTGTACAGATGCTTTGCAAATCCTGCAAACGACTGAACTCTGTATGGCAGTTTACGAACCGGGTGTCGATTCGTTACGCGATTTTGATTGTACTATGATAGACTTGTTAGTCCAGCCAAAATATGACTCCATGATTCAAGCCAAGTTCAGCAAGGCCAGAAACTGGACTTTTATAGTCAGTTAACTCCCTTGCCTCGGGAAGATGTACCTACATCTACATATGATATTACTTATGGTATTGACTGAACATATATCAGAACAATTAATGGGATGTACAACAGGAAATACTCACTTGGATAGGCTTCCTGCCATGCTTGTTCAATGGCGTCAAGAACAGTATTTTGTCTCGACTCTGGTATACGTCCAATCAAATCAACAGAGTAGGCGAGTTCTGTGGTCTTCAGGCCCTGTATGGAGTCTGTGTACACATATACACCTCCTGCCAGAAGAGGGTCACTTTTCAGAATTTCGTTGTTGACCTCTCTGGTAAAATTTGTTGTTTGCTCGGGAGTGAGAGAAACTGGCATGCCGCTTGTTGAGTTGGTCACATTGTAGCGATAGCCCGTAAGAACAACACTGTTGGAGATAAAAGCTGAATTACTGAACTATACAACTTGGGAGTTTATCATGATATACACATAACATCTGTGAATTGTCCAATAAGTCATACACATGTTATAACTAAATAATAGCCTATTAAATAATAAATTGTTGCATCTCACATCAGAATTAAACAGCGTTGATGTTCACGTCAAAAGCCAATTCAGGACCAACAAAACTAGTGTTGTGGTGCCAGGCCATGGTGTTACCAAATATGTAATTAACTGGGGTTCCAAAGTGTCTTATTTCTAAATATATAACGTCAACGACAGAGGATAACCAGATTTGATTATCAGATGAAACAGCTTTTATTGGGTGTAATAGGAAAAACGGCGGTGACAATTTTATTAATGAACAAAATCAGTGATGACACCAGGTGTTCACGAAAAGGGTTATTATCAGTTGAATATCAGTCACAAGCTATCATTTAGAGGTACATATGCATAATCTGTCGATGAGATGACTTACCCAGAGGGATCAATGTAACTGGTCCTCTCGATGATGTACAGTCTCAAACAACAGGAACCCTCTGAAAATGATCAAATTATACCCGAAGTGACATGGCCATGAACAAATCCAAAATTCAAAAAGATATTGCATTCAATCAGTCTCACTTCAGCAAACTGAATACTAACCACCCGTCAATGTTATATACATAGCGTCAATGCCAGAGAATAATTAGTCTTGATTGTCCAACGAAACAGATTGGACTTGGAAGGGAAATGATCAGTGATTTGTTTCCCACGCATTGTAAGGGGCAGTGGTGTAGCCTCGTGATTAAGCGTTCGTCCGTCACACCAAAAGTCTGATTCCCCAGATCGGCACAATGTGTGAAGCCAATTCGGCGTTTCCTCTGTGATATTGGTGGAATATAACTAAAAGTACCGTAAAACCACACTCGTTGACTTATTCCACACCTTATATATAAGCTGGTAAGATATTTTACCACTTGACCCACTGCCAAAAATTAGATTCATTTTATAAAACACAAAAAGAAAAAATCGATATGTGATAAAAAAATTACTACTTCATAATAATACAGTTTCATTATCATACCATTTGATGATTTATTGAGGGCATTCTGCAGAACTTCCTCCACTGCAGGTTGAGTGCCCTCGCTGATGTTGCCCGTCAAGTAGATGGTCTGTGTTGTGGTCGCGCCAGCTGTGGTACTGGCCGTCACCGTCGTCACCCCTGACACTGTGCTTATCGTGGAAGTTGGCAGTGTTCCTCCTTGTGTCCTGATTATCGCTCCCCCAACAATATAAAGATCGGGTGAGTTAAAGTAAGGTATCAGTGTCCCAGCGTTGAGCCCCACAAACCGTGTCCAGTGTGAGTCCGCTCCTTGGATGGACACAGTGTATGTTACCCTGGTTACTTGAGTGTTGCTGAAAATAATAAAATATTATGAAAAGGGGATAAAACATTTTTTAACCGTACTCTTGATCTTCAATTTCTCTGCGTTAAAGGTATGATATGCACATTCAATGCACGTTGCACTTACTGCAAAATATAGAGCGATCGTTAATATATGATATTCCCAGTTCGCCCTGATTATGTTTCTAGGTCCTGCAGCATCATACCTAGATCGTGGGTAAGAGCAGCATTAAACTCAACTCACTTACTCACTCCCTTGTATATGATGTACACATTCATTGCACTTTGCACTTACCCCATGGATCTACCCATAGTATGTATGCAGAGTTCTGACTTCCGACATTAACACTTATCTTACAATACAAATTAGACATGTAAAGTTTGGACGTAGTTTTAAGTACTAATGGAGGTCTTTGGTGCCATTAATTGGACGTAACATCGTGGCACGTAGGGAAACTTACCTTGTACGACTAAAGTAGTTGTCATCCATTGTATCAACTCTAACTGACACAGCATCGGTAGGTATTCCAAGTGTGGTGGCTGAAAATACAATGAAAATGTGCATATAAGTGTCAAATTAAAATTCAATACGTTCTACATGTACTTCATCAGGTCATACTTTAAACTTGATCACTAGTAACCTATGCAAGTCCTAAGAAGCTTAATGGATCGTTTGATCATCCTCGGTGATTTGGCTGAGTGGATGTCATATTACCCGGATGGAGTGGGTCATTGTCCATAAAATGATTCACTGGATTGTCTGGTCCAGACTTGATTAATTACATGCCGCCATCATGCAGCTGGAGTACTAAGTGCTGTTTTAAAAAACAAAACACAGACATACACACACACACACACACACACACACGTTTTTACTATTGTTGTATAAACACACCCCATGCGTTGGTAATTGTTTCTTCAATGGTGCTTATTTGGCTGTCATCAATGCTTCCACCAAAGTACATGTTGAATGTTCTTCTAATTGGACGCGAGGGTTGCTCAAGCTTCAGGAACTCCAACACTTCGGTCAGCCTTTCTGGATTGATAGCTGTTGTCGTCACTTCTGGGCTTGATATGGGTGGTCTGTAGTACACTCTTGTCACTTCCTCGCTGTGAACAATTGGTTAAATTTAGAAAAATACTACTAACATCACCAAGATTCATTCAGAACCTATAACAGTTAAAAGGTACCCCTATCTTCGGACATCATCTATTTGGATAGCCATGTTCTTTTTAGAGCAAAATCTTATTATGATCAGATATTTCATTCTTTTCTTTTAACAATACTTAACTGTAACTATACCCAAACAAATCATGTCAAAAAAGGTATTTTTCTGCTATTCTAAATCAGGTGATAAGCACCATTGGAAAGAAATGCACTCTTAAGTGTATTTATGTATACAGTCTTCACTGTCTATTGGACGTCTAGGAATCACTATGTGTATTGACTGCTTGAAAATAATGTAAATATTTGATGTATAAAATATATATTTATACATACCCGACAGTGTTGCGAAAGGTCTCTGTGTTGATGGTCGATCCAGTCCTATCTGCAACATGTAATTTCATTCGTGTGTTTCTTGATACACAAAAAAGATACGATTAACAAATCCATAATTGAAATTCTTATGATGCAGCATCTCCAGGTTTCTTTACCATTTCAGAGAACGCCATCATAACAGTGGTACTGACATAACAACGGCAACGACGTAATGAATGGGGAAACAAATTGTACAATCAGAGGACCCTGCCAACCCGCGATTGGCTATTGAAGAAAGAAATACTAATATTATGAAGTTATCTTGAAATGATACAACAATATCCTACCAAACGGGTTTAAGTATGATCCGAATGTCTGCAGCTGGGTTAACGTCAATTGCCCTTTGACATCAACAAACGGAACCGGAAGTGCGTCACAGTCACAGACCAAAGAGCCAGTTAAAGTGAGGTTAGCAGTCTGTGGGCCGATGACTATGGTGTTATTCACCACGACATAGTACTGAACCATTGACAGCTGTGTTCTGCAATAAACCAAATAGTACTACTGTAAGACTGTTATCAATAGTGTTAAGATAATACAGAAAAATCAATCAGATAACATAACATTCGTGATGCCATGAACGAGAAGTCACGGATCGTTCACTTTGGTATGATACAATTTGATTTTAAATCAAAATGAAAATGAATTTGGCCCAAAAAGGCACTGACTAGAACAAAGAATTTTCGTACTTGTAAACTCCTAGCAAAAGAAAGTAATTGAAAATTGCATTTGACAAAAGAATTACAAACGTTTAAAGCGTTTCTAGGCTGAAAACAAGATCCCAAACACAACTATCATACCCTTATCAAATATATCACCATCGAATAACCATTTCTTGTTCGTTTCATTTTAAGCCAGCATCAAACATGGGTGTTTATTTTCTTTTGCCCGTTATTTTATGTGAAGGTCATTTGAATTTCCCCAAACGTAAAGGATGTGCAGTACTAAGCTAGGACATGGTGAAGTTGCCTACCCGTCCTGTGTGTAGTACATCCGCGGTCTGAGGAGAACCACTTCGAAGGGTGCACTGCCGAGGTTTCCGAGGACTGTAATAATAACCATTATAGTTATCATATTAAATGAGTTAGTTTGAGAATAAGTGAATTTGGCTTTACGCCACTTTGAACAGTATTTGAGTTTTATCATGGCGCCATCTTGATGGGCAGGAAAACTTGAATTGAGGCAGGTCGTGGACGTTTACCACTTTGGTGAAACCCTCGAGCTGACATTGTGCTGACAAACATAGAAACATAATCAGGGCGAACCGGGATTCGAACCCTGCAACTCTGCATAGCGTCTTAGACGACACGTCTAAGCCACACACATAAATAACAGATGATCAAAATAATTGAATCTGTGCCACATTGTGCTACATTTTTTAGCGTTATTGCTATGTAATGATCATATATCTGTTACCACGCCTTATTCTCGTCACTGATGACAGAAGTCCGTTGTTTATAGTCCCATAGGTGCAAAAATGATTTTTTTTTCCTAAATTTATACCTAGATTAATCCAGTTAAGCCATCCCGTTGTGATTATGTCTTCGATGAGTCTTCTGTCGTTGCCATCTATGTCCACAACTCTGTTCAACAGAAGACTGTGGCGCCGGTTGCCCGGAATGAGTGTTTCGCCGACATACACCGAGTTGACGTTTGTGTCACGCTGTAAAGTGTTCAATAGGACGGCTTGAGAGGGTGGCTGAACCGAGTCAGGGTCCTGAATCACCCCATCCCTTGCCATGGTGTAGAACACCCTGCTCACCGTCGTGCTGTAATATAGCAGTGGGAATATAAGAGCTAGTAGTCACCCCTCCTGTGTTCGACAGGCATTTTAAAAACATGGCATTTGGGTGTAACTTTCAAAGATCAATCCAGGAGTACTTCTTTTTAACGTTCAAAGATCAATCCAGGAGTACTTCTCTCCGCTCTTACTGTCCTAAATATATTTCGGGGACATTCAGAAATTGGAAGAAAATGCAGAAGTAATACTCATTTGGTGGCTGGTTCGACGTATAAAGAGTACTTCACGTTCACACATATCTGATCCTATGAGTAGTTTCAAAGAACTAAAACTTTGTTCAGAAATTATTATGAATCTTTCATACATGTATTGGTCCTCCAACTAGATATTAAAATATGCTATTCAAAAGAAGTTAATACAAGCGTCAAAATCCTTTTGGCATCCATGATAAATCTCTGAAAAAGTCAGTGTCAATTGTACAATTCAGTGATATGGCAGATTAATAATAGTAATATGAACGGAATCGGTTGTCGTTTAACTTCTTTTGATTAGTATATATTTTTTGTTACTGGTATTATTCTTTTTAATTTATAATGCATTCCATAAATCATAAACATATTTTGAATTATATATATCTAATGGCTCACTTTGCCTAACTTATTAATAGTAAGATTGCCTACCTGTAATCCCCAGTGAATTCCTGTGTTTGAAGCATGGTGGCCTTGAACTGACAACCACAATCTACAACATGAAAACACAATGCTATAACACAAATAGAAGGCCGTTAACACAACAATGTGCATGGGCATTACATGACAAAGAATTCTTCACTGAATCTGGCATATGCACCCATCAATAAAAGCGACAAAACCATTTCCATAAGCATAAGAACTGCAAATCGGCCTGTTGGGGACAAGACTCAAACAAAGGGTCAGTCGTAGAAACAAAATTCCAAATCGGTTAAAAAAGACTTTTTGTGTCTTCAACTGAATATGTTATGATATATTAATCTAAAAGTTCATGACTACCCTAATCACTTCGATACGTTTCAGTTTCACACAAAGCACTAATGTCCACGTCTATACTGAACATGGGCAATGGACTATGGAGCATAGCTCCTCCTTTAATGAGGTTATATGTGCTCCTTTTTTAATACATACATTCTGGTTGCAATGTCAGTGAAAAGTCTTACATGAAATGCGGTTGCAATGTATGGAAATACAGGAAACAAACAACGTTAATAACGAACACGCTATAGGCTATTAGGCTACAGACTATGAAGTGGATGTATTTTCTTGTACAGAGAAATATTCAGTCGAAACGCTTAAAACGAACTACGGTTATAACGAACTATAATTAGTGGTCCCTTCGAGTTCGTTATAACCGCAAAATAAACTTACGTGCGTGTATATGGCTCACCTTGGTGACATTGTAGTTTTTAATCAAGACCATGCATTTCATTTACAGTTCTATAACCAACCTTCAAAGGCATACCAGTACACATAACCAATCATAAAGAGTTACCTACCTGGATTTAATTGATGCCAAGCTTCTTCGATGGCACTGAGAACAGCAGGCCTCCTGGATTCAGGCAAATCTCCAACGAAATCCACGGTGTAAGCGAGTCCTACACTCTTCAAACCCTGTACGGAGCCCGTGTAGATGGCAACTCCACCAGGCATTTCTCTGAAGGGATCACTCTTCTGGAATTCATTGTTGACTTCTTTGGAGAAGTTGCTGGTTTGTTCGGGTGTCATGGTAACGGGTATGCCACTTGTAGAGTTGGTCACATTGTAAATATATCCTGTGACGACGTTTCTAGGATATGAAATATATACTTCAATCAATAGCATTTCACTTCAATAGAGCTATTTCTAAATATAGTACACACATTTTAATACAATTGACACATCACAGTGTGGCAGATTGATGTGGGAAGAATGCCCGAAAATATGAAGGAAAATCCTCGAGTCCGGTGATGACAAACGGAGGGTTCTGGTGAATCGAAGGGACGCAACCCTGTACAGCTAATTGCGATGTCTCAGTTGACACTGGTAACGCTGCTTCAGATTTGTTAGAAATGGATATAGAAATATAGAAATAAATATGTACACCGTAGAAAGTTATTTTCCATATAATGATGATATGAAACACAGCCTACCCAGATGGGTCCAAATAACTTGTTTTTTCTATGATGTAAAGCCTCAAACAGCATGACGATCCTGAAATTAAATGTAAATATATTTCATGTAGATGTGTTTGATGAGACACTTAAGTAAACTAATCCCAAAATGTCATTATTAGAATGAACAAAAAACATGGAATGGCATGTTTGATTAAGATCGAGATTTAACTAACAGAATATTTATAATAATGCCATGTAAATAAAATATTTATCCTTATTTATATATTATAGTATAATAATTTTCATTAAAGGGCAAGTTCACACGGAAATGAACCTATTTTTCTTGTACTTTTTCCTCATTAAAAGTGTTAACCTAGAAGTGTCATAGACAAAAATATAAAAATATCACAAATAATTATTTTTTCACATTTACCAATTGTTCTTTTTCCATAAGAAAAACACCATGGCTTATGCCCCTTACAATATGACGTCATTGGTGCCAATTGATAAACATTATGACGTCATCATGCTTTGTTAGAGCCGCTTAACGTGGTGTAGGTACAGGTGTTTGATTCTAGCGTCTCAGATGCCAGCCAGCATAGTGTTATGCTGAGTCACCAGTGCACCGGAGTGTGTCGTAGGCCATGTTGTTTTACCACAAACTGGTACTTGATATCTTTTGCGTTGAGAATAGACAGGGACCAAGTTGAATTGACACCAATTACGTCATAATATAAGGGGGATAACTCAGGCCTGTTTAGCTTGAAAAACGAAGACCTCATAACGGCATATCATTTTCCCACTATTGTGAGCTTCCTACTTTCACTGTGAAAAAAATGAGTGTATATCTTCAAACACAGATACTAACTAATTCTAAAATTGCGTTTTGTTTAGAAAAAGATAGAAAGTGATTTTTGTGTGTACACTTCCCCTTTAAGGATGTGTGATAAAATGCGTTTGTTAAAAATACCAGTGTTAGAATTATTCAGCGCGTTCTGAAGAATTTCCTCCACTGATGGCTGACTGCCCTCGGTGATGATCCCCGTCAAGTAGATTGTCTGTGTTGTTGTGCCAACTGTAGGTCTGACAGTTATCCCCCCTTGTACAGTGGTCGTCGGAGTTGTCTGCCCTGGTGACACCGTTCCTCCTTGTGTTCTAATGATTGCCCCGCCAACTATGGTTAGGTCAGTTGTATTTAAATACTGTCCAAGTGTGCCAGCATTGACCCCGACGAACCGTGTCCAGTGTGAGTCAGCCCCTTGGATGGACACACTGTATGTTACCTGGGTCACTGGGGTGTTGCTGGAATAAAGTTGTAACTGGTAGTTTAATGGAAATTGCACAATCAATTCAATTCAAATACCAGTTTCGTTGCAATGTTAGTTAACAAATATCGTGCCATAGGAAAACAATATTCTTGATTACAAAATACCAAAAATACCCCTTTTGACGTAATACCAAATACGAAAACAATATATGCTACAAAGGGAAATAACCAGTCCACTTGAATAGGTTTTCAAATTTTACAAATTATAAACAATTATTAAGAAAACAACAATCTACCTTGTACTGCTGAAGTAATTATCGTCCATGGTAATAATGTTGGTAGATATAGCAGACATTGGTATGCCGAGTGCTGCAGCTGAAAGTACACAATCAATTGTTGTTGTTTTTTTAATTTTCAAAACTAATAAACGTCAATGCCATAGAATAACCTTGATTATAAGCGACACAGACTTCAAATTGGCGTAAAGGGCAAAATACCAATGATAATTATATGAATGGATCGCTGAAAAACAATACACAATCAATAGGTTGTTTTTCTCGAATTTTCAAAACTAATAAAACGTCAATGGCATAGAATAACCTTGATTATTCAGCGAAACAGATTTCAAATGGGCGTAAAGGGCAAAATAGAAGTGAAAAAGATATGAATGTATTGCTGAAAAGTAGTGATGACTGCAAGTGTTCGCGAAAAGATTAAGCATGTCGTGTCCTCCAGGTAGCCAGCGCCACTTAAATGTATCACAGACATTCATTGCTAAAATATGTATGCGTTATAGTGATCTTACCCCAGGCACTGGTGATGCCTTGTTGCACGGCCTCTCTGCTGCTGTTGCCAATTCTTCCACCAAAATAGGTGGTGAATACTCTTGTCATAGGACTTGTGTGCTGTTCCAGGTTGAGATTCGTCAGTATCTGATCCAGTCGCTGCTGACTGACTGCTGTGGACTGGACATCGGGCCCGGATATGGGAGGTCGATAGTAAACACGTGTTATTGGCTCGCTGTGAAGAAATACATGTCATATTAATGAATATGTCATTTATGAACATTTATTCGTGTTATAAGAAACAGCAATGCCATTGTATGTAAACTCGTTTCCCTATATGAGTACACTCATATCCCCGAGACAATGGAGCTAACTGACTTTAAAAGTCCAGTTTCCACAGTTAACTCACTAGCCTCGGCAAGATGGGGTACCGTTAGACAAACGCTAAATCTCTGAAAATATATAATTTGATAAAAACAAACAACTCCATTTAAATTGAAGAGGTGCCCCATTGAGGTGTGAGATTGAGAACCCGAACCTTTGGAGAATTTTTTTCTTTATTTAGCAATACAGTAAGGGCGAATGAGGAAATAATATTGTTCAGGGATTGTGAGACAGACACGGTTAGAGTGTGTGATGCCAATTCTGATTATCCCCTTCGTGATAAAGCCGGAATATTGCTAATTCGCTAAACTCGTTGTCTCCAGAGCTTATCGCACATCTTGTGCCTTGTTCATTTTACTGAATAAACATATAGAGAATCTCACCCGAGTGTCTTTTGATATCAAATATATCAACACGAGTTGAAAAAAGTGGGAAAAGTCCCAGGCTTGCCGAGGATTTTTGTCACTTTTATCAACGAGTGTAGATATATTTGATATCAAAAGACACTCGGGTGAGATTTCATTTATCATCCAACACCATTCTTCCAACTTTTTCAATTTGTAGACAGCAATTAGCAGTGTCTTCAGTGTAAAAAGTACTGCTAACAGCTTCAGTAGCAGAGCCATTAGTGATGTCATTTGATTGTGAGGTCATGGTAACCAGTGACGTCACAATGGTCTGCAAAGCATTGTGATGTAATTTCATTGCAGCGATATCTACAGTGTAGATATCGCTTGATCTCATCCAAGTGATATCTCATGTGGGAGCCAGTTTTGGATGATAAACTAAAGTACTTTATGTTCAGTAGTTCACCCGAGATAAAAATAATCTATGGAAACGCAACACATACCCAGAGGAAGTCCAGTACACTTCTGTATTAGTTGTTGTCCCGTCTACATCTGAAATAAAGGAAATAATAATACGATAATATCTACCAATGACATGTTTTATCTAGGCCTGCTCACAGGTCGTCCCCAAGTCAGTCAACAATACCAAATGGGAGTAAATCAATTCTCAGTTAATGTTAATACAGTTATAACTAATGTGCTTGGTCATGGTAACAGGAACAATATAGTTTGTTTTGTTTGTTTGTTTTGTTTGTTTGTTTGTTTGTTTGTTGTTTAACGCCGCACAGCTATATGACCAGACAAGCCAGTGACTGACATTGTTAGCATCGATCTACGTAATTGGGATACGATGACATGCATCAACCAAGTCAGCGAGCCTGACCACCCGATCCCGTTAGTCGGCTCTTACGACAAGCATAGTCGCCTTTTACGGCAAGTATGGGTTGCTGAAGACCTATTTTCCCCCGGAATCTTCACGGATCGGAACAATAAAGAGGAAATATTATTGCATTGATTACAACGTTAAGATACTTCTGAAATGAAGAAAATAAGGTTTAAAAATTTAAATATATTGAAATATATTACAATTCTCCCCATATTCCCTGATGTATCCACGAAGGATTGCTTCAGCAGTATATAGTCTTCAATGTAAGACATGTCTTTTTTTTCGTTTGTTTCATGAATCAACCTATGACACATATAGCAATTAGCCATTAAACATATGTTTCAACGTACCTGATGGATTCAGCGCTGATGCAAGTGTCTGTAATTGCGACACCGTTAATTGACCTTTGACATCGACAAATGGAACCGGAAGTGCTTCACAATCACAGAAGATGACGTTGCTGAGGGGGATGTTGGCTGTCTGTGGTCCAATGACGATGGTGTTGTTCAACAGAACCAGATACCGAATCTTCGTCAGTTGTCTTCTACAAGAGCAGGGCCAAGATTAATTATATCGCCCTGATGAGAACACCCCAAGAACGCGAGTACGTTAGAAAGCATAATTTGAAGGATAACATGACATCCTAAACCAATGACACTGAGCCGTATTGAAGGACTTTGAGAGGAGGAGTTGTGGCTGTATGTATCCCTGAACATGTGTTGTAATGTAAAGACGAGAAATAACCATTGGTGTCTTCACCATCTTACCCGTCTTGTGTGTAGTAAGTCTCGGGCCTCAGAAGAACAATCCGCAATGGGGCGTTTCGGAGGTTTTGTGGCACTGAAAGCAAAACCAAATCCACAAACATTAGGAAATTGTTTTTTGTCTAAAAAGTAAAACTACCTTTAGTCCAAAGAGGTTAATTTTCATATTTGACAAGAATGTGATGAATATATATAAAAA